AAAAAACAAGATTAGTGTAAGTCCAACCCTGTTCTGTGACGCTCACGCCCGTACCTCTTTGATCATGAAGTAGTAGGCCTTGATTAGATCGTTCTCCGAAGGCTTGGTTCGCTTTTCCTCGCTCTGCTGGCTGGCTTGCTCCTGGCTCTCGAAGTCCGTACTCTTTCTCAGGTGGTGCGGAATGGGCAGCGGCATGGGCTTCGAGGTGACCAGAAAGCGGAACTCCGGTCCCCATTTCTGTGTGGCGTGTGTGTTTGTGTATGTGTTGGCTGCAGTGGCTCTGCACACGCTGGGGCTTTTGTGAGTCATACCTGCAGCATGTCCTTTACCGAGATGTTGTGCAGGCCAACGAAGACTGCCATGTCGAACTTGCGGTACACGAACTGGCCCGCTAGTCCCCTGAGGCAAATCTGCTCGTGCGGACCACAGCACGGTTAGCGTTGTTCCGTGCACTTCACAACGCGCGTTGGGAAGTGCAGGGTACCCTGACGATATCGGCCTCCTTCTCGCCCAGGAGAACGTTACGCAGCATCAGCGACGCCTTGGGCACGGTGAACCGCAACTCGAAGATCTTGTTTCGCAGCTTGTCCTGAGGACTCCTTTGCTGCTTTGTCTTGATTTCGGTGATGGCCAGTCTGTGTAGATGGCGTCAAGTCAGTACTCTGCTGCGCAGGAAATCGGCGAGAGTGTGCGGGGGTGTCACATACTTTTCTTGCTGCTCCTCAAAGGTGACGATGTCGGGGTGATCCAGCCGCAGGGTCTCGTCCAGGTCATCAGACAGCCGCAGGATCATGCCAATCAAGCTCGCAATTTTGACGGGTGAGAGGTAGAACTTGAGCGATGGCAAATCACCGATGAGCCTTGAAAAGACAGGGAGAAAGGGTCAGTCCCAACCTCACCCCAGCATGCGGGAGCGCCTGCGCAGGTGGACGCGTCGTACAGGACTTTAGCCAGCTCGGGGCCGGAGAGCACTTTGCAAATGCCGAACTTGAGGTTGATGTCGAACTTCTCCACAAAGTGCATGGGGCTTGGTGGTTCGTTCGGCTTTCGCTTTTGCTGTATACGCGGAATTGCAACCCCATTAACACACAGCATCACACACTGGGAGAAACCGGAGTGTGCCTACCTTGAGTACGGGCCGCCAGTTCGAGGTGTAGGGTGTAAGGAGCGCCTGTACGGACGAGATCTGGATGTTGAACTGATCGTAGAAGTCGTCCTCGTGTACCTGTGAGAAGCAGGGCCAAGCAAATGAGTGGCGCCCGCAGCAGGTTCTTCCAAGTATGTCGCTCGGACCTCTTTCTCATTGAAGGTATCGTTAGCTTCTCCCTGATTGGTGGTCGAGAAGTTGACTTGACCCAGATCAGCAATCAGCGCGAGGGAGTCGGGGTCTTGAAAGTCCTTCGGCCAGATGATCAGAGGCGCCTAGAGAAGAAAGGACCAATTGAGAATTACAAGCCGGTGTGGGGGTGTACGGGAGGTGTTGTACCGTGGCATCGACATCGATGGTGAAGGCCTTCCTGGAGCTGAAGAAGCTCATGAGCTGCGCTTTGGTGGCACTTCGAAGAGCGCGCAGCCTGCTCTGCGCCGCCGATCGGAGGTCTTTCAGGTCGGTCACGATCTTGTCCAGGAAAAAGGTAACTATAGAAAAACAGAGAAGAGATCAGTACGAGTGTCACTTGGTGCGAGTGGGCGTATCGTCCAACGTACCCAGGCGACCAATGACGCGCGGTGGCACCACGCAATCGAGAGCGCCCAGCGTCAGCCGGAAAGCAAAGTCCAGGCTCGGCTGGTCTGGCGGCTTGAAGTCGAACCGGGCGGTGAAGATGGGCGTAGGCTCTTGGTCAATCGCTCGCTTCGATCGCTGCAGCCTTCGTGACGGTCGCATAAGGCACGGAAACTTGGTGTCCTCCGTAAAGCGATCGTAAAGGCCAACCCCGCCTAGGCTGGCGACGACCTGAAAGACGGAAGAGAGAAGCCGAGATGAGCAGCGTAGGCGGCCCGATTGCTTCATGAGACACGGGCATACCGAGAAGGAGCCCTGGCGCACGGACACACCCACATCGAGTTCGTCGAATTGACCGAACAGGATGTCCTTTCTGTCCGCGTCTTTGAACACTCCCTTGCCGTTGGTGAGGTGGAAGTTGATCTTGAATTGCACGTACTGGGCGGGAAGAACGGTTAGCATTGGCCTCGTTGGTGGCAATGAAGGAGCAAGGACGTTCGAGGGGACATACGTCCTTGGGGATGATAACAGTGGACTCTTCTTCGTCAGTGGTATAGCCAATCGAGGCGTAGAGGTTCCTCTTCTGCTCCAGCGTCACCATACTCAGCAAAGCGTCCCAGTTTTCCGTTTGCCCCTGCGTAGGAATTGTGAGTAGAGCTGGCTTCGTTGTTCGAGCATTGGCCGTTACTGGTCTCTTACCGAAGCGGCGCCAGAGGCTGGAGCAGCTGGAGACGAGGAGCCCAGCCCGAAGTAACTGAGCCAACTGGACGTCTCTTGCTTGTGGGGCATCTTCTCGGGCGCGAGGTCAAGCTTCAACTCGGCCAGCGAACGGAAACTGCAACGCGTTGAGGAAGAGTGGAATCAGCCACAGTCCCGGGCAGACCGTGTCAGACAGGGGTACGTACTACAGCAAGTCCTCGTAGCTGTACTTGCGCTCCAACTCGGCAAGCCGGGGAGCTGGCTCGTAGCCTCGCAGTTTCAGTTTGTACAGTTTGATGTACTCGAGCCTGTCCCTTCGCCGTTCGGTGTAGTACTCGCCCGTCCACTTCCGTCGCTTCTCCTTGACGTCCTTGAGAGCACAGTTGGTGGCGAAGGTCCACCACGCTTTGGGGTCTTTCATGGGCGGTTGTTGCGGACGCAGCTTGCGGTACTGAGATATCGATTTGTGATGTTATGGAGTGTTCAATCAGCAGCCCAACGGGCTGAGCAGCAAACTAGTTCACAAGAGCAAAGGCTCGTACCCTGCGCCCCTTGGCCTGCAGCTGGAACCAGTTGAGCAGACCGATGATGTCGCGGAACTGTGATTCTTCGAGACCCAGCGAAACACGTTCCAGGAGAAAGTTGATGGTGGCCTTGGGTATTTCCATATTGGGCAGTCGCTCCTTGTTGATGATCACCTACCGAACAAATGCCAAGGACGGGAGGTGTTCAATTGAGGTATTCGCCAACGCGAGGTCGGGTGTTCATGGTACCTTGAGCTCGCTGGAAACCGGCCGCACGATGTAATGTGGAGCTTTGGCGGTCTTCTTGGAGTCCTCATACGACAAGATCTGCAAATATTATGCATGTGGCAATTAGTGGCACAGTGTGTACACGAAGAACGCAAGAACACGCACCAGGTCATTCAGCTTCTTGCTCAGCTCTGCCGTCGATTGATAGCTCATGAAGGTGGCGTCGGTGTCCCAATAAACAGCCAAATTCTTGATCTCGACCAACTGCACGACAGAAGGGAATGCGGCAGACGCCAGGTGAGCGCTGCTCATGAAAGGATAGCTGCAAGAGTAGGGCGTTACCTTGTGCACGAGTTCATGTTCAGTTGTGAGGAAGGCAGGTTTCCATGCAGAGTCGGTGGACCGTGCAGATAGCTGGTCCAGTGTCAAGCCACAGGCGAAGGGGTGCTGTGATGCGGGATTCATGATCAGCGAGATGAGTGAGGTTTTTTTCAAGAACCAGACATTCATTCAGAAGGTGAACGAAGTTTTTTACCTCCGATCGGTTGTCTTCGTAGCGGATATGAATCTTCTCTATGGTAATCTGGATGTTGTCGATCGCCTTCTGTACAAGCCTTGCGACAAACCCCTCCGGCTTCTGCACCATGTTGTCCTGGTCCGCTGCTGTGTCACAAAACGAAAAACATGGGAGTGAGGCGAGGCTGCCGCAGCCTACATATCTCGAAACAGCAACAGCAAATGGTAGGCTACCCTTCTTTTCTCTCTTCTGCTGCTTGAGTAGTTCGGCTTGTGTGAGCTTCTTCTGCTTCTTCTCTTGCTCGCGTTCCTCCTCTTCCACGTCCCACTGTTGCCCACACGCCAACAGCAAGGCCACGGTCAGGGTATTCGTTTATCATAAACCAATACTCAAACTCCGTATGGAGCAGAGGAGCTCCCCGAGATGAAGGTTTACGTATTCATTGTTGGAGGCGGCAATCACGAAGATGTTGCGAATAATGATGACGATGGGTTCGCTCAGCAAACCCGAACGGATGCTTGACCACGGAATCTTCAACCGTAGCTCGCCCAGGAAGCCTTCGTGGTTCAGCAATAAATGAATTAATGTAAATAAAATAGAAAAATATGCCTCAACGCTGCATCCTGCACACGCCTGCAGGCAGTGGCGCATACCTGATTTAACGGCAACAGGCAGATTGAGGTTGGCAAGGGCGCTCACTCGGATCTCGAGGTCCTTGAGCACCACATCACCGCCCCAGATGGCGATTTTGAGGTTCTCCTTGTCGAGGCCCTTCACGAACTTGCCCAGGTACTTGGTGAGGATTTCAGAGACGATCGATTCGAACATCTTGCTCTCCTCCTGCGCACGGCGAATGCGGCTTGCCCGTGCTCTTCGTCACTGATGGGCACTCTTCCAATTGAAAGATGTTGTCTCGCGTGGCAGTAAAGCTTCGATGTGATGGCCGTGCCCACAGCCCACCACCAGGACGTGGCTGGTTCTTTTTTTCCTTGGTTTCTCTGTTTTTTTCCCGCCCTCTTCCTGTTCCGAATTGGCTTCAGGAGACAAGCAGAACATTGCTAACGACGCTAGTTGGTACAAGTGCTCTACTGATCGATTGTGCTTCAACAAGTCCGTTGGTCATTTATGAAGGCAGCATTCCTTCCTTCAGGCAAGAAAGAGGCTGTACACAATCCTCATCGCCCAATGCGGACACCAGCCCTTCAAGCGTCTCTCGGGTATCAAGCGCTGGTAAGGCAGAGAGCGCTTGCTTCACCCTTAGGCCAGTCCACATTGAATAGAGTGAGCAAGACCATTCCGATGCAGTGATTCATGGAGGCGCATACCGAGAGCCTCGGCTAGCACTGACGAGGAACAGCAAGGTCACTTCGCAGCGGAGTTTGTCTAAGTCCACGCACACGGCCCACGCCACACTGACGTCTCGTGCTTCCTCTACGACCACAAACTGCGCCATATCTATGTCCGCCATGCCGCGCATTCAGACAAAGCACACACCCAAGGAACAGCAAGTGCAACGTTACCTGAGCCCATGTGCCAGTCCTTGAGCTCAAGTTGAAAGCCATCCAGGTCTAGCGTTTCCTGCTCGTGAACGTGTGAGTGGAGAATCAACATGGCACATTCATTGGTCGTAGTTGTGCACCTGGACCAAGTGAGTGTGCTGATCTGCCGGCTTCAAACGGTCGATGCCCACATGCGCCACATCTTCTTCCCCTGGCTACATGCACTCGCAGCTTAGGGCAACACGGTGCAATCGAACCACACAAGATGGGCGAAAAAGCGTACCGGCCGCGCAAGGTTCTTGGGAGCAAAGAGTCCGATAAGCGGCCACCGAGAGACGCCCTGCCGCCCTTCCTCCAGCACGTCGTTGGCAAAGAGCCAGCCCTGGTAGAACAGGTTGTAGTGGTCGGCCGAGCCCGGCAAGCGTTGGCTCACCTGCACCCGCAGCTGCCACTGCAGACCGGCAGCGCCCTCGGGCGGCAGAGTAGGGGGCAAACGCACGATGCGCTGGTCAGGCTGGACCAGGACATGGTGGGCGTGCTCCCGCACCACTTCAGCCCACACCACCTCCTTCAGTGGGCGTCCGAGTAGTGCCAGCCGACCCAGCACCTCGTGGGAAGTGAGGTCAACGACGAGAAGTTGGGGTGCGGCACGGAAAGCGTCGCCCCCACCATAGGACCCCACCGTGAGGGTGCACCACAGCCCCAGCGCCTCGCTCTTCTCCACACCCAGCATTTTGTTGTTCTATTTCGTTTCGTTTCGTTTGTTTCGTTTTGGTTTGTTTGCTTCCTGCGAATCTTCGCACTCACGCCTTTTCCGTTCTGAAGCCGCGAGGGTGGGAGTTGTGGTTTATTGTAGTAGAGCTGATCGTCCCTCTGGCTCGTCGGGTCGTCGTTCCTGCGAGTTGGGCGCTGTGATCCTCTGTTCGTCTTGTATCGAAGCCCCTAGGTCGTTTCTAGCGTCACCGCCTACCCTCTCGTTGTGTGAGCTGGACGACACATCGCTTTCTGAACCCACGGCGGACTCGATGGCCAGCTCCGCTGTTGTGGTTGCGTTCGCGGGCTGTTGTTGCTGGCGCATTCGTTCGAGTAGCTGCTCCTTCTGCTCGAGAGCCTTGTCAACGCTGCGCAGGAAGGAGCAGTAGAGCTTCTTCTTTTTGGCCACGTGCTTCCACTCGTCGACTTCGATCCGGCCGCGGCAGTCCTCGAGATAGTCGATGAGCATGGGGTGTGGACGGGACATGTTGAAGGGCCCGATAAAGAGGTCGAGGTTGTCTTTCACGTTCGTCTCCTCGCCACGCTCGACGCAGAGGACCGAGTAGAAGCGATCGAACTCCTTGACGATCTCCTCGTCGACGATGCGCCAGTTCTTGCTGAAGTTGAGGTAGGGTCGCAGGACGCCAGTGCTGATGGCCGGACAAAACACGAGCCGATGGCACGCCAGCGCCTGCTCCTGGTCCCGCTGCAGGATGTCCACTATCTGGTTCTCTCCAAACCCTGCCATCACGGCTTGCTGCACCTGTTTGGCGATTGCCAGGTCAGAGAGGCATGAAAAAAAACGAATAAATATAAACAAATAAATCCATAAATCCATAAATCCAAAAATTAATAAATTATCCGTTAATCGTGACTTTGCGATTGGAGATTTGAGATTTGAGGCATACCTGGCCGGGTCGGAAGCAGCTGAGGCCATTGCCTGTGATCCATCTCGGACGGCTTCGCCATTTGTGGCGACGAGGTGTACATGACCTTGCTAGCGAGGGTCGGATTCTTTTCGACGCCCACTAAGTCCGTGTGGCCCAGCTCGTCCAGTTCGGCCAGCAGGTAGCCGTTGTCATAGCCAATGTCTGCGATTGTGCCTGGATGTCGCAGATCGAGCATGCTCAAGACCGTCGAGAGCCGTGTGCCCAATCGCAGATTACGCCGGGATGTAACGATGCCAATTGCCCCGGCAGACGCGAATGGTGAGAAGAGGGGAGTGGAGAGGAAGGCGGATGGTGGTCGCGCGCCAGTGTGGAAGGAAGGGCACGGACCGGTCGTCCACCTGCAAGACGAGGCAGCAGATGTCGTCCGCCTCATCTTTGTGTTTTTTAATCTTTATGCCAAGAAAAACGTGCCGGCGTGTGTTTACTTGCACGCTAGGAAGAGGCTGCAGCGCTGGCCGCCTGCTTAGTCACAAAGGCATCGACAGCACGCGTGACCGTGGCAATGCACTCCGTCGGTCGTTCCACCACGTACTGCGCGGAGGTGATTTGCTGCTGGTCGGGCTGCGGCTGCTCCGTTGTCGCATGCCCGCCTGCGCCGCTGCCGCCCTCTCCATCGCTGCTTCGGCTCCCCGCTTCAGCCGAAGCTCTTGCGGGCGGCACCTCACCATTGAGGTCGGCCCCTGCAGCAGGGGCATCCGCACCAGCGGAGGTCGAGGCGGCGTCTCTGCTCTCCGGCGAGTAGAGGAAGGTGAGCAGCTTGGGGGTCCGCTTCTTGAAGGTGATCTTCACGATATTCTCCAGCGAGTGCACCCGCTCCACAGCCACCAGGAACCGCTTCTCCTCGTGCACCCGCAGCTCCAGCAGTTCGTCCCCCGTCACCACCAGATACCTGCGGGGAGGGGGTTATGCTTTAGTGACACAGGCACAGCACACAGCACGCAGGCGACGAGGGATCCGTACCACGGGTGAAGGCTAGCGTCGATCACCTGTTTGCAGGCGAAGAAGGACCAGGCCTGGTGAGACTCCACGTACTGGTCCAGGCGCACATACTCCCCGATCTTATGCTGCGGTCGCTTGTTACGCCCTATCGGTGACACACGCACGCGCGCAGTGAGACGTGACGTCCCATTGCAGGGGGCATTGGCAGTACCCGCGGCCCAGAGGGATGGCAGGGAGTTGAGAGACTGCCAGAGACCGGGCTTGCGCGGCTCGGCGATTGCCTTCTGCTTCTTGCTGCTGTCCTCCGCTGGAGCTGGAGCAGTGCTCTGTTCTGGCGCAGCCGCCTCCGCGGGGGCCGCGCTGCCGTCGGGTTCGGTTTCGATCGGGCCAGCTGGAGACTGGCCAGCGCCGTAGCCATTGAGAGAGCTGCTCGTGTCGGTCGTGGCGGGCTTCGCAGTTGCCTCGCCTTTGGCGCGTCCCCACGAGGAGAACAAGCCGCTGCCCCAACGCGACACCGTCGTCTGCCCAGGGACGGCGGCCTTCTTCTCCCCATCGCCGAGCCGTGCGGCTTCAGCGCTGCTTTCCGCCGAGGGCGGTTGATCGCCCGGCGGCGCTGATGGACCCTTCTCGTGGCCCTCCTCGGCATTGGCGTCTCCGGCTTCTTCGTCTTCGGCGCCCTCGTCTTCTTCGTCAACCGGATGGGCCTGTTCGCCTTCACCGTCATCGTCGTCGTCATCGTCGATGGTGAACAGACGCTGGGAGGTGGAGTGCTTCTCGACCACTGCTTGTTGCTTTTCCTGGCCAGCGGCGGACGAGGCGTTGGTAGCAGGCGCGACAGTGGCGCTGGCCGCATCAGCCGGTCCGGCAGCAGGCGCCGAGGCGGCGGTCCTCCCACCGCCGAGCGAAAAGGGAATGGTGGGCATGCGAGTGGACACCCGCGAGAAGCCCGACGCGAGCGTCGACACCAGCGATGTCGGCAACGAGATGCCCGGCGTTCGCAGCGACGACGTTGCAGCTCCCGTCGAGGCGGTCGATGGGGAGGCAGAGTCCGCTGATGGAGACGAAGCAGACGATGGTGATAGTGCCGGTGCCGGTGCCGGTGTAGGGGATGATGGCGTTTGGGTGGGGGATGGCAGTGGCGGCGGAGGCAGCGGTGGGGATGTGGATGGAACAGCGGCGGAGGAAGTGGAGGAAGAGGGCGGAGATGAGGAGAAGGAGTAGGCTGTGCGGTCCTGGTACTTGGGCGCCGCACCGGACGACCCGGTGAGGAAAGACGAAAAGAAGGCCGAAGTGACCGACGAAGCTGCCGACGATGACGACGCCGCCGACGACGCGTTCTGAGTGCTGATGCAGACGAGACACTTGGAGCGGTCGTGGTCCATTATTTCGGTGTAGTCCTCCGCGGGCGATGCGGCAGGCGACATGAGGAACGAGTGCAGCGCTTCGTAGCCGCCATGCACCCCGCTCACGTGGTTGAATCCTGGGGACACGATATGATATTGTTTGTTTGTAGTGAGCGAATGCCAGGAGGCGAATGGAGACCAGCTGGGCCTACGCACCTTTCTGCAGGAACTGGAGTACGATGAGCTCGAGAAATGTGTCGGTCTGTGCAGCGCCCATGAAGGCGAAGTGCATGGAGTCGCTCTTGAGCTGTGCGAGCCCGTCCAACAGCTGCTTGAACTCTTCGGGCCGCTCGAGCAGCTGGTCAGGGGAGAGGACAGAGGTGAGCGTGGAGACGGGCGAGGGGCGGACGGTGCGCCCCATTGGTTAGTTTTTGTGTTCTTTTTGGCAGCGCGCACCAATCGGGAGGGCAGGTGGAAGGCGGTCGGGAGGTGGCCGCTCCGGAACTCGTCGTCCGTGCGCACGTCGAGCAGGAGGAACTTGAGACCCTTGCCGGTCATCGTCTCTGCCGCTTCGGGCGCCGACAGCTGCAGACAGGTGGGCGTCGACAGCGACGGATCGGCCGTGAAGAGGCACCGCTTCACCCACGCGCTCCAGTCCTGTGGCCGCCGCCGACGAAAGATATGAACGAAATCCGCGCATTGTGTCAAGCGGGTGTCTACCAAGTACCTGTGTTTGGAAAGTGGCGGCGTAGAGCTGCTGCCTAAAGGCGCGCGGCGTGCGTCGTTCGAACGTGAGGGCCTGATAGGTGGTGGTGGTGGGGTGGGATGAGATAAGATCTAGCGAGCACCAACGACCACATGCATGAGTTGGGGAGAGGGGTGCACACCTGCCCGATGAGCTGGTGGATCTCCTCCGGGGAGGAAGTGGTAACGCGCGAGAGCTCGGAGAGTATCGCCTGCTGGCTGGTGGCAGCAAGAATCGCCGATCTGCGGTTGGAAGCCCAAAAGGCGCGTTAATGCGGGGCTCTCATATACAGGAGAGTCCAGAGCGGAGGCCGAAAGCTCTAGGGGGGGTACCGCTTGCTGAGCAGGAAGGCCAGACCGAAGAAGTAGGGGAAGAACGGATCGCCATGGGCGAAGAAGAAGTCCCACAGGGTGTAGACCTCGTCCATGTCATAGATGCATGTAAAGAGCGAAGAGAACTGTGCCCACCCACCACCCGTTAGTACTCAAGTCGTTACGAGAAGGAGGCACAACAGCCACGCGCGGAAGGATCGCGCACCCATTGGGAAGAGAACCGGAAATGGGGTAGATTGTTTTGGTCGAGGAAGAGGCATAGCGGTTGGTCGTGGTACAACACCAGCAGGCGGAACAATTGATTGATACAACTGGTACGACGATACGCGGTAGGTGGTAGACTTAGAATGCAAACTATGCTTTGAGAAAAAAAAACAATGTGGCTGCGTACGTATGAACAGAGGAGTCTTCGACGAAGGTGAGTGGAACGTGCTTCGAGATGAAGGTGTCGAAACAGTTGAAGGCCACATCCAGTGGGTAGTTGAGCATGAGAAACTGGGCCAGTAATTCGTTCAAGTACAGGCCTGCACATCATTTCACAATGACGGTGTTGAGTGACTGATCGCACTAAGGTTAGTCCTTTAATGGAGGGCAGAAAACCTTCGCGGTACTTGACATAGCGACGCTTGCAGTAGAACCGAAGCACACGAGTCATACGCTGCGACACGCCATCGTCTCTGAATTCTGCATGGGTAGTGAGTTGAACACACACCACACCACCACACCACAAGTCGCGCTTCGATTGTCGTACCGGGCAGCTCGGGGCGAGTGTCGCGGCAGGCTTGGACGAGCTTCTCCTCTTCGGGCGTCAGCGGGGCGGCAAGCAACTCTTCCCACCCGGCCATCGAATCGCCCGGCTTTTTGTCTGCGCCCAGAAGCGACTGCACCAGCAGTTCAACCAACGAAGAGAAGCGCGGCACTACGTTGGCCAGATGGTAGCGGTGAGCGACAAGAGGTCGAGGCGCACCTTCCACAGCGCGGGCCGGACGGATTCGGGAATGATGTAGCTGCGACCAAGCTGCCGCAGGTGGTCGAGGTCGGGCGAGGCCTTGCCCAGCTCCTCTTCGAGCTCGTGCATCGCCTCCTCGCTCGTCTCTTGCCCGTGTGGGTAGTCCTCCTGTTCGGCGGGCTTGTTGGTAGACGAGTCTGCGTCGCTTCCGCCGCCGAGCTCTTCGCGTCTGACCAGTTCCCGCAGCTTGAGCTCGTTGAGGCTCTCAAGGTAGCGGCCTTCGATGGTGTCGGTGATCTCCTTTATCAGCGAGTGCTCGGGCGTCAAGTCTTGTTCAGTCGCCTCCGCCTCGACGAGAACGTCATCACCATCGCCGCCACCGACGCTGTCGCCATCCTCTTCCTTCTTTTCGCTCGTCTGTTGCTGGTGTTCATCATCGTCGCCCCCGTCAGCCGCAGCTTGCGTGGCGCCGTCTTCTTCGTCAAGTGCAAACGTAGAGGTGCTTGCAGCCGAGAGCGTGGAAGCGAAGGCGGCACCAGGCACGGAAGAGCCACTCTGCGAGTGCATGAGTGCGGTTGAAGATGCCGGCGGGTGGTCCACTGCTGGTGGTGGCAAGGGGGTGCGAGTGTCAAGAGAGGGCCTGGGCGGCAGCTTTTTGCTGCCCATCTCTTCTTCCATGATCTTCTGCAGATCGACTTCGCCAAAGCCGAAATCTAGCTCGATGTCGCCCATGGGAAGGCTGTCCATGTCTGTGGACGCAAGCTGCCGGTTGCTGTCGAGCGCCTCGAAGAGGGGTTCGTTGAGGATGTCAGCCAGCTGGCTGGACAGATCAAAGTCGCCCATTGAAACGGAGGGTGAAGCCGCCCCTTTATCATCCATAGTGTGCCTTTGTTGTTTTATTTCCTTTTTCTTTTTCAGGCAGCTTTTTTATTTTTAACAGGCCAGCACTTCAGAAATCAAATTGAAGGATCAAGGATGAACAGCAACAAGTTTTACGTCCCGCGAGGCCCGAGGGTGGAGCATGCGATCAAGGACCCTGCGATCGAGGAATGGGCGTTCTACAGGGAGAACACGCACCGCTACTTTCGGATGAATCCCAAGATCGCGAGGAAGGCCCTCATCTGGGCGGTGGCCGTGCCGTACATCACCTACCAGCTGACGAAGATGGCCCAAATCGAGCAGGACAACCAAAACCCGCGCAGCCAGCTCGCCGTTCCCGACCGGAGTACCTTTGAGACCGTCCAATGCCGGCACCATTCCGACGTCCCTCCCCGCGCGTCGATTTGTACCTTCGCATAAAAGCACGCGTGCCTTCACTCCTCGCGCTCTCCCTCATCTTGTCTCGCAGCCCCTTTCTTGGCAGCAACTCAAGCGGAAGCTTGTCGTCGTGCACAGCTCGTTGGTGTAAAAGGTTGCACTAACCTGACTTTAATCTTTGTTTTGAAAAACTACTACTTCCTTGCTTGATGAAGCTCGAAACGCTCGGCTACAACTTCACTTGCGCGAGGTAGCCTTCTTCTTCGAGGGCAGCGATGATCGTCTGTACGGCGTTGGTGACGCTGACGCGCGAAGCGTCGATGGTGATCTCGGGACTCTTGGGCGGTTCGTAGGGGTCGTTCACGCCCGTGAAGTCAGTGATGAGGCCGCGGCGCGCCTTGGCGTAGAGGCCCTTGCGGTCGCGCTCCTCGCACACCTCGAGCGGTGTCGAGATGTAGATCTCGAAGAAGCCGCCGTGGCGGCTGACCATGTCGCGGCACGTCCGGCGGCCCTCCTCGTAGGGCGAGATGGCGGTGAGCACCGCAACGCCGCCCGACTTGGTGATCTCGCTGGCGACGTAGCCGATGCGGCGCATGTTGAGGTCGCGGTCGGTGCGGGAGAAGCCCAGCTCGGAGGAGAGGAGGCCGCGGATCTTCTTGCCGCTGAGCACGGACACGGTGCGGCCGCCACGCTGGAGGAGGGCGCTCTGGAGGGCGTGGGCGATGGTGGACTTGCCCGACGACGAGAGGCCGGTGAAGAAGAGGGTGAAGCCCTGCTGGACGCGCGGCGGGTAGGTCTCGCGGAGGATCTTGACCACCTCGGGGAAGGAAAACCAATCTGGAATGTCCATCCCCTTGTAGAGGCGTCGCCGCAGCTCGGTGCCGGAGATGTTGAGCACCTGGGAGCCGGACGGGACCTGGTCCTCCTGGAAATATTCCTGGCGATCCTCGACGTAGACCACCATGCGGAAGTCCATGATCGTGACGCCCAGCTCCTCTTGGTGCTTCTTCACCAGCTCCTGCGCGTCATAGACACCGTAGAAGAGCTCGCCCTTGCTGTTGTTGCCTGTTGCCGTTGGGAAAGAACGGTGAGCCACAGCGCCGGCGGAACAACAAGAAGAGAATTGAATGGTTGATGTCTCATTCGTGGTATGTTTTTCAACACTGATTTTCAGCTAGAGCTAATAGTTGTAAATCATCGACGTGGAGGGAGCAGAGGGGCAAGAAGAGCGGGGCGAGTCGTACCAGGGCCAGCATGATCTCGGCCCACAATGAAGTGGGTGGCACCGTAGTTCTTGCGGATGATGGCGTGCCACAAGGCCTCCCTCGGACCAGCCATACGCATGGCCAAAGGCAGCAGGGACAAAGATGCCAAGCCATCCGGGTAGTGCTTCATCATCTCCTTGTAGCACCGCACTCGCGTGTAGTGGTCAACGTCACCTAAACGTGGCCCAAACGGTAAAAACAGGTCAGCGAAGACGAACTCGCGCGCAAGAGGAATAGGAAAGACAGTGAAATATAAACTACAGACTCAGACAGGTTCTTAGTGACATCACGTAGGTATGTCAGGTCAAGCGTTGGAAAAAGATGACATCATAGTAGTGGTTGATAGTTGCAAGGAGCGAGAGGGTGGCCACTTACCAGGCTTGGTCATGCCGACCACTGGGTGGATGAGCAGATTGCAACCGGACTCGCGGGCAGCAAGGACAGTGATCTCCTTGTGCGACCTATGCATGGGGTTGCGAGTCTGGAACGCCACCATGCGGCTCCACGACTTGGCAGCCATCGAGGCACGAATCTCCTTCGGAGTTTCTGTGTAGCAAATCCTTCGTTAGCCGTTGGAGTGTAGGATCCAGTCCAGAGGCGTGAACGTACGGCGCAGCTCAACGAAGTCGTAGTGCGGCGGGAGTTGGATCCCCTCGATAGAGCCGCCAACGTAGTAATCTCCGGCCTTGTTGAAGAGGTACCAGACCGCTGGGTGCGCCTGATCGTTGGCACCAAACACTGCAGAATGGGACGGAATCGGATGAGCTCGGATTTTTTTTAAAAAAATCTGCAAAAATCACCGGAGCTTAAGTTCGTTGTGTACCCTGTACGGCCTCCTTGACCTTATCGGGCTTCCACAAGCTCTCAACGGTGAGGATCGCCAGGGGGATGCCCTCCTTAGGATCAAGGAGGGCAACGCGCTGCCCCTTGGCTAGCTCCCTGTACTGTTGTGTTGTGTACACGAGCTAGGGGTGAGGCCAGCTGCGCAATGAAGGGAAGAAAGGATCCGTGGCTAAGCAGCGGAAACCTTCTCCGCCGTCACGTCGAGCGTGACCGGCATCGGCCACAGCAGACCCGACTTCAAGCGCATGCCATCGACAACACTGTAATGTTGCGAAAGCGTTAAATCGAGGAAAATCTTGTACTGCTTAAAAGTGTGTGTCGGCGACAACGAACCTGTCGTAGTCTTCCTTGTTGAGGAAGCCCCGGAGCGGAGAGAAGCCGCCGTTGAGTAGCAGCTCCAAATCGCAGACTTGACGCTGAGAGAGGCGGAGCTTCTTGAGCATCTTGGCTTCTTGCGTCAGTTCGGCGACGAGGGCCTGGTCGTCAGGAATCAGCTCGCACAGGCGTCCGCCGTGCGGGGCCTGGGCTACTACAGCAGTAGTGGCGGCCATGGTGTGATCTTGCTCGATGCGGACGAGGAGTCCTTTCTCGCGGAAGGGTTACGGAATAGGGGCGTGGTCCAGCGTGATCGAGGCGTGCAGATCCGGCGGTTCTCGACAAGCGATGAACCGGAGGGCCTAGAGACGTAGAAGGGTGGTGAGCGACGACAAGAAGAGCAAGAGCGAAGCGAGACCCAAAAAGGCCAGCGCCGTTTTGCCGGCGCTTGTTGCCCACTAAAATCCCGGTTTTTTCACTACGAATTCCTCCTATCACATTACATTCCAGGCATTCCAAAGTGCCACATGGGCTTTTGGGACCCGACCAAGTTGCTGTTGCATGAAGCGTCGTCGTGTACCACAATAGGCCGCGCAGGGTGGGAAGAGGGACCTCTTGTCCGGCTCGACGAGCTCTTTCTGGGCTGGGAGTGGTGCTGGTAGTTAAACTAGTTCATCGACTTATCAGAACGAGAGTAAAATAGGGCCAGGAGGGAGACAGTGCGAGGAACTGCGCAGCCCAAGATACAATCGGGCGGTGGCCATGGAAGTTGGCACCCGCTAAGGAGTGTGTAACAACATTCACCCCCAGAGGTTCTCACTCTCCAACCGGCCCGAGAGGGTCGGTCTGAGAGAGTTGCCTCAGAGGACCTGCACCATTGTTAGGCTGCGTTTCAGTCCTCCCCGCCTGTCAGAGCTTTCCCCTTCACCACCAGGCCTGGTTGACGCAATCACCCTCCTTTTTTTTGTGGAGGTGTGGCAGCCAATACATCCACCAGCTTTGGCCCGGCGAACTTGACGCTCACGTGTACACCACACAGCCCTGTTGCATTGGTTTACGTGGCTGATCAACATCATTCTATTCTCACGCAATGCAACGTAACACCCACTTACAGGCGGGCCGCTTCGGGTGGGTGAGCCGAGGTGCTTGTGTCGTCCTTGCTCGAGGCCCAGGCAGGGGGCACCAGGCGCGCTGCCTGTCTGCCCAGCTGGAGATCGTGCAGCAAGCGGAGGTACCACTTGACGCACTGATCCTTGCGGGTGTAATCGAAGTTGTTGAGGATGACGTCGTGCGCGTACTTGAGCAGCTGCGGCCATGATTCCTTCGGGCTGCCCTTGACGATGTTTCGGACGAGCACGAGCACCACGTCCAAGATCTGCACGTCGGCGATGATCATGAAGTTGAAGAGGAGCAGGATGAGCTGTCGCGGGTCGTTGGGGTCGTGCAGCGTCGACGGCGGGAGTGGCTGCTGGCCGCTGCCGGCCTTCGAGTCGGCCGCGCGTTGCTGGATTTCCAGTATCTTGTCGGTCAGCGTCTTCAGGCTGAGCACCACCAGCGACGAGGTGGGCGGGAGGGCCGACACAATGGCGAGAAAGCCGTCGGTGAAGGCCGGGAACGGGATGTAGCCATAGTACTCGAGGCAGACCTTGATGTAGTAGGGCACCAGCTTCATGACGTGGGGCGCCATCGCGTTCTTGCCATAGCCCCACGGGTCGATGAACAGAGACTTGAACATCTGGTGCACGCCCTTGCTCACTCTGGCGTCTTCGTGGGCCACGTTCCTGTCAAGGGCAACGACCAACGAAAAATGTGAGCTACTTCGCGCGAGAACAGGTTTGCAGGGCGGTGGACCGTACTTGAACATCATCGGGAGCAGGTGCTCGCTGAGCAAGTTCTCGGGAACGAGCGGGAGGACGGGAAGTACTGCGACCATGAAGAAGCGAAGGCGTGCCAGCTCATGACCGTCGAGCTGCTTGAGATCCCCATCGGCTAATAGCAGAACCGGGCCAATGGGTTGTCAGCAGCAGCAGCGCCTCACAGAGCACACTCACACGCCGAAAGTGCAGTAGTACCCTTGGACGGAATGGGAAACAGTTCTACGACGCCCTTAAGGTTGTCCGTGTCCACGGCCGCCTGTCGCGCAATCGTGTGGACGATCTGGTCGTACAGGGCCACCGGCACTCGCGCGAATTGAATGAAGGAAAGGGTCTGCAGAGCGCGCACGCACTGCTCGCCGGACATGACCACGTAGACCGCCGCGAAGAGCGTGTTGATGCACAGGAAGATCATCTGCATGAACGTGCGCACTTCCTTTTCAACCATATCTAGATACAAGAGAGCACGCACGCACACATCATATCATACGCGTTAATGCAAGCCCTGTTCGCAGTCGCAGAGGGACTATAGTACCTTTTGGCCGTCCTTCGTCCGCGCCTTTGACGCCGCGCCAGCCTTGATAAAGCTCCTCGGCGAACATATGAAGTCTGCGGTTATGCCAAATCAGGTGGATGAGCACGTATGCGAACTGCCGCGATGTGTGCGGTGCGGTCGTCGCATTAGAGGGGGGGGGGGGAGAGAGAGAGAGAGAGGGTCTACCTGTCAAGTGCGTACTGCCGATCGCACGGCTGCAGACTGGGAAAAAGGACGCCCAGGGACTGGGTAAGATTGCGCGATTGCTTGAAGAGTGCAGTGTCCTTGCACTCGACAATCTAAGCGAGCGACGTTGGCTTAGTACATCCGCTGCACACACCAATACACTACACCATATCACGCGTGTTAAGTGCACTTACCTTGGGCAATAGCGCGGGGTCCCTGTTCTGCATGGCATGGAGAATCCACGTGTAGGCGAACACTTCGCCCAACAGCACGTCGAGCACCAGCCGCAGCACCAACTGCGCGCGACACGCCACAGTAAGACACGCGGCATACGAAGGGCAACCATGAGTAGCAGAGAACGCACGGCGCGGTCCTCTTCCACGAGCTGGAGCGGATCGATGTTGGTGCAGACCAACGAGGTGGCGTGGCGTCGATACCGCGTCACCTCATCGAGAGGAAGCGGCAGTGTGGACGAGTCGACGGAGTGGCGGACAGAGTGCGAGACTAGCTCGAGCATCAAGAGCCTCGACGCATCGAGCAGTTGCTCCTCCTGCGCCGAGACCTCGTAGTGTTTCTTGAACACGGTCATGCCTTTCCTGTATGCGTTCAGTACGCGCAATCAAGTGTTAAACCAAGACACCCACCGCGACACACAGCCGGCACTGTACGTACAGCAGGCCGCCAGCGGCGAACAGGGCCACGAAGTGGGTGGCGGGGTGCCGCCTCGATCGACGAGTTCATCGTAAGCCGCCTTGCACTCGACGGCGATGGCCCGAAGCCAATCGGTCGGCTCGTGAGCGGCCAGTCCGGCGTGCGACGATGGCGGCGGCGGTGAGGTCACGAAGGCGGCTCGCTTCATGGCCCGCGTGACGAACACGTACTGGAGCAACTGGAAGAGGGTAAGCCCGTGCTCGAGCGGCGGCAGATCGGCCGACGCGACACCTTCCTCGCCAGCGTCGTCGACCTTCTCTTTCCCCTTGGCCGGCCTTCGCGACACCGCGCGCTGCCGGAGAAGAATCTGGTCCGGCGACGGAGTCCACAGTCGGAGGAGAAGGTGGGTCACGCGGGCCAGTCGGTCGAAGGGGAGGCTCACCATGGCATCGCCGACGCCGCTGAGAATCGTCGCAAGGTGGTTGCTCCTCCTGAAATAGACAATGCCGTCGGGCCGATCAATTAGGGCTCTGCAGGGGAGAGATGACGAGGCCAAAGAGACGTACACAAGAACGTCGGGCTGCTTCTCGAGGTATCGCAAGATCGTGTCCACGCTCACATCGCTCCGGTCCCCGAGAACTCCGACCGAAGCGCCGAGATAGGTGATACAAAGAGCGAACAGGGCTCCGTCTATCGGCCGTGACGACGAACAAAGAACGAAGACGAAGCAGGCCAAAGGTGAGAAGGCGGCCAGCGGAGAGGTAATGGTGAAGCGAAGGTGCGTACCTGGGCTGCATCGACTAAACACATTCTCGAGAATTGACACTCCCTTCAGCGTTTGCTCTGCGACGGGTCGCTGCGGATCTGGATCGACAAGAGGCGATGATGAGCCAAGAGCGCGAGAAACCATACAATGGTACAATGCGGAGCACGCTGCAGGCCGACTTACCTGTCCTCAGTAGATGCGCAGCGGTCTCGTCGTTGCACACGCGCAGCCAATTGGTCAGGAGCTGAAGGCACGGAATGATCACCGGCGTGTACATGTAGTTGGGGCGCGAGTAGTCCTCCAGACACCAGAGAAGAAAGTCCACAACGTTCGGTGTGAGCTGGGAAGGGTGAAGCCACTTTCGCTGCGAGCTCAAGAAGCGAAGATTCGAGAGCAACTGCAGCGGAAGAAGAACGAAGAACGAAGAAGAAATCAGTACAGCACGGACGACTGAGACAAAGCGAAGGGCGGAAGGGCCACGCACGATGGAGGGGCTGCAGTATTTATACTGTTGCATTCGATGAAAGCACTCGTCGAACTGGGCCAGCCGGTCTGGGTTGCGTGCGGCCAATTCAGCTGCGCCACAAACAAGGAAGAAAGCGTGAGGCGTGGTGCTCAATTCGAATGCACGCAAGGAGGCACGCACCCCTTTCTCCGATGGTCTGCGGCTGGGACTTCTCGATGTCCACCGGTCCGCGAACTGAAGCGCGGATGCTGTAGTAACAAGTGGGAGTGAGTGGCCAACACATGAAGAGAGCCGACGAGCACCAACGATCGAGTGCTTCACGTGTGATGCGACGCCAGCGAAACGTACGTTTGAGCCAGCTCGGTAGCGCGATAGCTCTTCGCCAGGTACTCCAACTCGGCATTCTCGAACAACTCGTTCCAGTAAAGCGTGGATCGCTGAAGCTTTAGACCTCTGCAAGTTCGGGAGAAAGGGGGCTCGTTAGCCTTCGGGTGAAGAGACCTCCGGACACTGTATGTGCGTGCGTGCGTGCACCTTTCGACGCCGAACTGATCCAAAGCGGGCGACTCAAAGAAGCGCACGCGACGCTCGGCCAGCGCCGAGAGAAACACCTCTGCTGGCATGTTTGGGATGTCGATCAGCGGTGGCTGAGCAGGCAAGCGGAAAAGAAGAAGAAGAAGAAGGTGAGGCATGTGTAACCAACTGCACAGACACGCGGAGACAGCGAAGAAGAGTACCGATCGCTTGAGCTTGGAGAAGAGGATGCTGACGTCATCGGAGCCTGTGGTGTTGGTGGCGAGCTTGACGTAGAGCACCAGCAGAAGGAAGGGCAGCACTACCGACCCGACCTTGGGCGTGAGGGGCAGCCACTCGGGGCGCAGCACCAGCGAGAGGTCGTCCAGGTCGAACGCGTCGTAGAGGTTGGCGTAGCTGAGCCTGTGCGGGTCCACCACCTTGAACACCTCGCTCACCGCACGCCAGTTGAAGAGGTTCTCCATCACGATCTTCGTCTTGGCGGTCTTGATGAGCTGCACGCTGAGCGGCTTCAGCCCGGTGCTCAGGTACTCGGTTTGGTCGAGCCTCGAGGGAGAAATGGATGAGGTGGATGACGAGTGGGCTGCTGGTGGGAGCAAGTGGAGGTAGTCGGGCTTGATGTCAAGGATGGGCGCAGATCTGGGTTCGAGATGGGCGATGATTGCCGCGATTTTGTCGATGCAGTGCAAGCGACCCGTGGCGATGAAGAAGGTGAGCTGCTGGCACCAGTGGTCGACACCGATCTTCGATTTCATTTTTGCCTGCGGTGGGGATGGTGGCGGAGGCGGCAGGTTGCTGTACAGCTTTTTCAAATCGTGGCCTGGTGGCAGTGGTGCATCCATCACCATTCTCATCCCAAGTGGTCGCAACGTGGCCTTCATTCCGAGGTGCGGGACCTAATCTTCCTTTTGTATTTAAAATACATCAATAAAAATGATAATAATAAATAAAACAAATTAAAAGCTCGGCTGAGCGGTACGCTCTCTTTCAGAGAGACGGTGCCGGCCAAGGGCACGGATCGGAGGCGGATGTCTGCCAGGGAGGCACTGGTGAGGCTTCCAGACTCGTGGGTGTGGCAATCGTAAACGTCGAGTCGCGTCAGGCGCGGGCACGTCGCAACCTTCGCCTGGAGTGCCCCCTCGTCAAGCCTCATGCCGATCCGCAGCCGCAGCTGGACCAGCGCCGAGAACCAGGGCTCTCTGGAGCGACGGTTGGCGGCGAAGAAGAAGAAGATCGGCGGCGATGATCATCGTCATTGAGGCCGAGGAGAGAGCGCAGAAGCCCGACGCTTCAGGGGCAGGGCACCGGGCGCGACGCCAGGTCACGACAAATCCGCGCGCACACGCCCAGGCCTCGGCGCAGTCCTTCGCACGCCACTGACCAGGCAGAGTCCAGGTGATCGAGGGCATGCTCGTGAAGGGCAGCTCCAGTCGGGTGAAGCGCTCGATTCCACGTCTCTCCCAACGTTGGTGATGTCGATCGTTAGCCACCCGTTCACCACTATCCGGCCTTGGTGACGCACCTCAGTAAGCGAAGCATGGCCTGGAAGGTGATGGCGGTCTTGGCGAGGGAGAGGCGCGTGAGCAGGGTAAGGGCTGGCCCAAGTCTTCAGGGTTGGCGCGCTCGCAGTTGTCTCAGTTGGATGCGGCACGAGCAGCGCCGAGATAAACGAGTCCTCGATACCTTGTTGCGCGACAGATCCAAGTCCTGTGTGCGACGGCAATACGCAGTTAGGCCCATCAGTAACGTTTCACTTCCCACTTGGCAGATGCCCATCGCTGTGGAGCAGTGAGAGTCTGGTTACCTGCAACGCGGGCACTGGGACGAGTCGGTCAAAGCGTGGACTCCGCATGCCGCACCTCTGCGAGGACCCAGCATTTCGAAATGAGAGCCGGTTGAGACCGAACTACGTGACGAAGTACTAATGGATGGCTCATCAAAGGGGCAGAGGAGACCGCAGTGGGAAACGCAGGAAACCAGCGGAGGCTCTCGGTGGTGACCAGGGTGGAGGAGAGATTGAGCTCCTCGTGGCTTCAGTGCCGTGTAGATGTATCATTTTGTTTCATTATATTTTTGGGGTGAAGGTGTCGAGACCACTTTGATTAGGCGATAACCACCGCCCGTAGGCTCAGGCTTCGTCCTGCCCAGTTGTCGACGTTCCTCTATCGCCATTAGGGATCACAACCCACAACTAAGCAGCGGGAGGTGTTGGTTGGCGGATTTAAAACATAAGCTCGTGCCGTGCCTGTCCCTGCTCTTTCTACTCCGGACCTTCACCAACGCTTATGGGATACGGACCTTGGCCGGCCCAAAACTGGACTCAGGAAGGCAAGTTGTAGATGTTCATGCGGCTGGGGGCAAGTGTGGGTAATGAGTTTGTACAGAAGTATAGATATACAATTATGTAAAATAAATATAAATCCCAACCACGCCGCGGCACCCCGCCGGCGGAGGCGCAACGTCTCTCGTGCGCGCGCGCTTCGCTTTTCACTCTCACCAGCCTTTCCTCTCGCTCTCGCTTTGGGCGTGCGGGATGGGGAAGGTCATGACCGGCAGGTCGTCCTCGGGGAAACGGTCTGCTCTGCTCTCGGAAGCCATGGGGTAGGTCATGACGGGCAGCTCGTCGTCGGACGCATCGAACTCGTTGCGCTCGGGGTTGTGGAAGGTGGAGGCGTTGGATCTCTCGCGGTCGGGCAGCGTGTCCATCTCGATGCCAGCCCTAATCGTGCATGCATGAGCTCAGCCATGAGACGCCAAATGTGGCTGACTGTGTCGAGTTTGGTGTGCGTACGCGTGCTGCGGCCTGCCGCAGGTGCCCTGTTCTCCCAATCGACCAGCGCGTCATCGTTGAATTCAAAGTAGAGGTTCCTCCTGCGCAGGCGCAGTATCCAACTACGAGCGAGATGGCGAAAGAGTTGGGTCAGATTCACCGCCCAGCACACGGAGAGACAGATCGCAACGTACCCCAGCATAATCACGAGAGCGAGCTCACTGGCCTCGTTGAGCATACGGTAGGCCCACGTGTGGTAGTGGAACAGACCCGCGTAGAGCAGTGCCCACTAGCGACCCAAAGAGAGTATTAAGTCAGATTACACGACTCACAGGAACAGGCTGATATTGCAGGATCGTACGGCGATCATGGGGCAATGTAGCCAATGTGGACCCACATGAACGTTCTGTTGCCAAGAGGTGCTATGGTATAAGAGGATAGTGCAAACAAAGGTTTTCACACAGCACCAACAAGACGGACGGGACGTACTTCAAGATACGGTGGCGCTCTTGCAAAGTGAGTTTGGATCGCTGATACCTGACATCGTTGAGTTCAGCACCCGGAGCGTTGTCTGCGGGAAGCTTAGGTGGCGGCTGCATTGTACGGGAGGGTTACGGTCAGTTGCCTGCAAGGGATCCAGCAAAGTGGGCGGGAGAGGGGGGGGGGAATTTCGTACCACCAAGCCACCAGCGCTGGATGATGCCTGAGCAGGCCCGACCGACTGGCTGTTCTGGATTGCTTTGTTTACGTTCTTGATGCTGAAGCTCGTGAAGAAGAAGATGACGATCAACATGCACCCAAGGCCGAAGATCGAAACAACCTGACAATACGAGAGGTAAACAGATCAGTGAACGTTTGGCGATGGCCACAAAGCGGCGGTCGAAGCAGCACATACCGCATAGTATCCTTCAAGGGCAAAGTTGATGACCCAAGTGATGTAGAAGACGATCTGCACCGCACAGAAGATCAAGGCTTCAAACCAGCCCATGCCCTTTCGGCTGATCCCCCACGCCAGGCCGACCAACAGGAGACCGCCGAAGAAGTACGAGTACCAGAGCGAGTTGTAGATGACGTAGATCACATCTATGCCCCAGGTCATCACTCCCTGAAGTGCGTCAACGAGGCGCGTTAGAACCGTAGAAGAGGATAGCCGACGGTGTGGGAAATGGCGAAGAGGACACAGAGCTCGGTGCACATACCCTTTCAGAGATGTAGCCCCAGTATGCGGTATTGAAAATCACAAGCCACAGCTTCATAATCGGCCAGAGCGATATGTACTTGTGCAAGCGATTGGAGCCGGCTCCCTGAAATGAAGAACGTCTGGTGAGTAACTGACATTCATAACCTCACGACACACGTTGGCACTGCCTTGCACGTACCTTGTCAATGAACACGATGTTGCCCAGCCACGCCAGAAGCAGCACGGCGTAGACGATGATCAAAATGCCGTAGATGTAGGGCAGTGGGATCGTATCCCAGCCGAGGTATTCACCACCGGGGTTCAAGAACACTTCGTAAAACTGATAACCGTTGAGGGGCAAGACGTCTCAATGAGTAAAGGACTCACGCGCAAGCCGAGTAGGGAGAGATGAGATGAAGCGAAGGAAGCAAAGAACTAACTGACAACGCGTGTCCACTGCACAACGCAGAAAAGTGGAGGAGCCCACAGCGGGATTGAGAGAAGCGTACCTCAACGTTAAGTTTGGTTTGGTTGCAGTTGACGAGCACGAACCAGTACATGTCGCGAGTTTTGGCAACGCCGGTCATGTTGGCAAAGCCCTTGAACTGGTGCACGGCGCACTTCGACTTGTTTTGCGCAATCTTGTTGCACACCTGTAGCACGCAAGGGGTTACAGGAAAGCGATAAGATGAGTGCGATACCGGAATCCCACTGAGGTTGAAAAGGAGGAAGATGCGTACGTCTTTCCCATCCGAAGTAGAGTAGCCGTCAATCATGTCGCCATAGTCGTCATCGTTACACACGAGCAGGCGCAAGAGAGCGCCCTGAAGGTGGGGGGGGGTTCAGGCTCAAATTCTTCGGATCGAGAGAGGCTCTCTGGAGAAGGAAGTACCTTTTGAAGGGGATCGATTTGCACATTCCAGGTGCCATCTTCCTTGAACGCAAATCTATCGATAAAATACAAATTGTCGCGAAAGTTGTCGTCCCAAGTGTCGCGGGTGGCCTCGGCCGGTCCAACCTGGCCCGAAAGGAGGAGGAATACAAGCGCGCAGCCGGCCGCCACCAAAAGGCCAGCCCCTCGCATCCTGATCTTCGAAGGTTCTACGCGCAGTCGAGTGGACCCTTTGTATTTTTTGAAGGCGCCCATATTTGCGTCGACACCACTCCGCTTTTATGTGCATTCTGGCGGACCTCATCGCGACCAAAACGTTGTCGACGCCGAGGCAAATTAATTTGAAGGTCCTAACGCGTTGTTTGTGTGCGTGTGCCATCTTGCCTCCATCTCCTTCTCGAGTCCTCCCGACGGCCTTTCGGCTCCTTGCTCTCCTCTTTTTTTAAAACAAACACCGAGCGACCCCGAGGTCGTGTGCTTGATGGGTTACTGCACCAAGTGCGGCAAAGACGACCCTAAGACCATCAAATTCTGCGTTACTTGCGGGAACCCCGTTCAGCTCGGTTCTTCCTCTTCTTCATCTTCGTCCTCCCCCGCCCCCGTCTCTCCTCGTGATCGATCCCGCACCTTCAACAAGATGCTCCGAAGAAACACCAGCGCCGCCCACATCGATGCCGGCGAGGAAAAGGTGCCCTCCCCTCTCTTTGCCTTCTTCCCTGTCGGGGCCTTGCAGGTGGTTTACCCCCGAATCCCGCCCCATATATCGCGATGCGCAGTTGAACCTCAACCCCGAGCAGTGGAGCACCCCCGACAAGGAGGGCCTCCTCCAGAAGCAGGGTACCTCTTGCGGGCCGGCCTGGCTGTTCTTGTTTAGCCACTAGCCCTTGGTTGCCACACGACGTGGGATTTAAATAATCTCACCTCGGTTTTGCAGGCCACGTCGTCAAGAACTGGAAGACGAGATGGTTCGTCTTGCAGAACGATATGCTCTTCTACTTCAAGGACAAGAAGGTGCCTTCCTACCGTGACCTTTTTCCTTCAAGCCTTTCATCATTTAATCCCCCCCCCCTCTCTTCCCCTAAACCCAGTCCACGTCGAAGCAGCCCAAGGGCTACATGGCCTTGAAGAATGCTTCGCTTCAGGCGACTGACAAGAGCAAGCGAACACATGTCTTCGAAATCAACTCAGCCATCTCTAAGAACAAGATCCTGTATGTCCAAGGTACGCTACACCGGCAATCTCCGTTTCACTTCACACCCGGGTGGGGCGCTGATGCTATCGCTTCGCTCCCACACTGCACAACAATACACAGCCAAGAGCGACTCTGAGATGCAGGCCTGGATGGACGCCATTATGAAGAACGCTCGGTCGTACGACAGCGTGTCGGCTCCCCTGGCTGTGCAACACAAGGTCCACGGAGGCTTTGACGGCGAGAAGGGCTTCACCGTACGTTTCGGATTGACCCTCGCGTTCTTCTTTCTAGCCCGTGCTGGCGTCTCTTTCGTTCTGGTCTTTGCTCATCACTCTCGCCCTTCTCAATGCATCTTGATCGTGCCGTGGCCTTTGCCCTTTCAATGTGTAGGGTCTGCCGAAGGAGTGGGAGACCATGCTCCGCTCGGCCGGTATCGATCCGGAGGAGTTCAACAAGCACAAGGGCGCTGCCGTCAAGGCGGTCGAGTTCTACCAGAACATGATCAATGTGCAGCCTAGTACGTCGAATCTTCCCGCTCATTGCGTTTGCATCTGTCGTGACCAGTTCTGAACTCTCTCTCTCTCTCCCCTCGACAGACGCTCGTCCCGCTTCCTCCAACTCTCTGACTCCTCTGCCCGAGAAGAGGAAGCTTAGGCTTGGTACGCCACGCTCACACCTTCTCGTCGGCTCATCTTCTAACATCCACACCTCAACTTTGTTCCTTCCCACAGAGGAGCTCGTCTCAAGTGACGATCCCACACAGAGATACGTCAACGAAGAGAAGATTGGCGAAGGGTAACGCCTTCCCTCCCGTGCATGGTCGGCAGGGTGTAGTGTGCGGTCTCACTCACCCGCCTCTGAACAGTGCTGCTGGTCAAGTGTTCGTGGCTCTGGATAAGCGCTCGAACCGGAAGGTCGCCATCAAGAAGATGAAGCTCGACGACGAGAGCGCCAAGCTCCTGGCCAGCGAAATCCACATGATGAAGAGCTCGAATCACCCCAACATTGTTGGTTATATCGACTCCTACATCGTTGGAGGGGAGCTCTGGGTATGAAGTTCAGCTCGGCTTCCCCTTGGTGTCGTGCGACTGACCTCTTCTTTTACAGGTGGTAATGGAGTTCTTGAGCAACGGCATGCTTACCGAGTGGCTGGAGCAGTACCCCAACGGCGACTGCCACATGGGCGAAGCCGAGGCTGCCTTCGTCTGTCGAGAGGTACTGTGCACCTATGCCATCTCTTAGTCTTAGAGTAGCAGAGGCGACTGTTGTTATCTTATCTAATCATCCATCGCCATCACAGACTCTCTCGGCCCTCAAGTACATTCACAGCCTTCACCGCATCCACAGAGACATCAAGTCCGACAACGTGCTCATCGGTGAAGACGGTAGCATCAAGCTTGGTACGATACGCGCCTTCTTCGTCTGATAGTTGTGGTTGTCACGCTTTCTGACCTGCAACTGACCCTTTCCGCCGCACTCTAGCCGATTTTGGTTATGCCGCGCAGCTCACGCAGCAGAAGGCGAAGCGAACGACAGTGGTCGGCACGCCGTACTGGATGGCTCCGGTACGTTCAGATTGCATGACCCGAGTCCATGGCCTTTTGCTGAGTTTCCTATCCGTTACCGATGCTCAGGAAGTGATCCAAGGAACGGACTACGACTACAAGGTCGATATTTGGTCGCTCGGTATCATGCTCATGGAGATGACCGATGGCGAGCCTCCCTACATGGAGTTCCCTCCCCTCAGGGTACGTGCTGCCCGTGAATGCTCAGCTGCCTTGCTGCGCGTGCAGACGGCCTGACCTCTTTTTCGTTCGTCCAGGCCCTCTTCTTGATCACGACCCAGGGAATCCCCGGCATGAAGGAGCCCCACAAGTGGAGCGCCGAGTGCAAGGACTTCCTGAGCAAGTGTCTCGCCAAGGACATCGGAGCCAGGCCCGACGCCGCCACTCTGCTCAAGGTCTTTACACCTCCCACAGCTTGGCCCTATCAGATCTTAGCACTACTTTGGCTGTGGCTGGCATTGCTTGAAGCGCTCATCGCATGTGCGTGTGGTCTTCCAGCATCCGTTCTTGAGCAAGGCCGGTCCCCCCGGCTGCCTGCTGCCGGGCCTGCGCAGGGCTCAGAAGCTGAAGGATTAACCCTTGCTTCTGGTCCTTTTGTACACCGCACGCCTCTCTCACCATCAATCAACACACCCGGTCCCTCCCCGACCTCGCTCATCACTGCCCCTCTCCTCTTCTTGTCCTTTCCTCCTCTTCGGCTTCTTGCAAATAAAGCTTGTCTGTATTCTACGCCTTCTTCGGCAACAGAAAAGTGCCGAGCTGGCCTTTGCTGGTTCGCTACTAGCGCTTTCAACTTGTCCCGTGCTTTTGTTGCCGAAGCGCGTGGGCGAGCAAACGAAAAGAAGATGGACGGCTCGCCACGAAAGGGCGAAGCGGCTGGCGATGCAACCTCTGCCGAGCAGCGTGCGTCCTTTTCTCCTTGCCTCGCCATTCATGATTTATAATTTCATTCAAACAAAATCAACAATGCTCTTTCTGTGATGCTTACGCATCCAACTTTGACCGGCAGTGTGGGTGGAGGAGAACTGCCTGGAGGGCACGAAGGAAGACGCCTCCATCAGCCCGCCGGCCTTCGCCTTCATTGGCAACGCTCACCTCATCACCGTGCGTCAGCTTCTCTCACGCAGCCTTTGCTCTACCAGCCTCGGCCACCACCGCGGCGCTTGCGTGGCATAGCCTCACCTTTACTCGGCAACCGCAGAGTGACTCCAAGAAGCGCCAGAAGGCACTGGTGGCTCTGGGACGGTTCCGCATCTTCGTCATTGTCAAGTCAGCTCTGGGTCGGCGAAAGGTGCATGCCCGCCCGTCTATGCTTTCTTCGCCGTTGCTGGCACTCGCCAACTGACCCACGCGCTTCCTCCGGCTGGTAGGTCAAGGTCAACTGCCCTCTGTTCGATCTGCTCGAGGTGAACGGAAGCAAAGAAGCGGTACCGTGCTTGCCTCGGCGTGCGCCTTCGCACTTTGGCCGTCCAGTAGGACGCCCACTAACATGGTCTCTTCACCTATGGTGCTGCAGTTGACGCTGATCTATTGCGGCAAACGAACTACGGGCTACCACATGCACTGCACCATGTTTCCCAATGGCAAACTGGTACGTGTAAGAGAAGCAGGTGCCGATAGAGCGTGATGCTCACATTCGTGCGCTGCAGGGCTGCAAGAAGCAATTCATTCTCATGGCCACCACCTTGCCCCTCTTTCTGCTCGCTCTGCGGTACGTTGCATCCTCGCCGCATATGCCTACCCTCTGGTCTCTCTCTCTCTCTCTCTCTCACCTCTTGCTTTGGACCTCGCTCTGGTGAATGCGCAGGACGGCCTTTGACAAGATCGCCCCCACCTTCGCTGCGAGCGATACGTTCAAGATCGGCCTCAACAGCTCTGAGTAAGTGTGCTGCGCTCGCTAGCATCACCATTTTCGTTTTGCTGACCTCTCTTCGACTGATACGCAGGCTGCTGCCGTTCACGCCCACCGGAGCCAATAGCATAGCCGCTGGCTTCCTGGAGACGTATCAAGGTATACTCGCCATGCGGGCGACGGACCGAACCGTACAACGATCGTTGTATTTGTATTTACGCTCTTCTTCCATCTGTAGCGTACTGCGATCTACGAAAGACGCCGGTGAGCCTACAGGTGATTAGCTACTTGCAGGATCTCGTCGTGCGCCAGAAGTCGACCGAGCTCAACCTCAACGACATTCCTGGCATCCACCCGTCTTCTTCAATCAGGTACGCAACACCAGCGCTCTCCTCCATTCACTCACCTCATTGTCGCTCACATCTGCCTTCTGTCAATTCCAAGCTTCGATTTGGGCGCCGTATTTGGTGCACTCGAGCAAAACCAATACTTCACCTCACTTAAAATCGAAGCCATATCGGGACACAAGGTACGACGGCCGTCCGTCATTTCCATGACCATCGAGAGTTGCTTTTTGCCACCGAGCGGGGCTTACCCCTGAACCATTGCAGGACGTGTTCCTTTACGCGGCCAACGCCCTGCGCAGGAATGAAAGTCTCACTCGTTTGCACATGGCCTCTGTGGTACCTTGACCTGGCCTAAGCCCCCTCTCTTTCCATACGCCCGCTCAACTTTGTTAACCCTGGTGGTCACAGGACCCTTGCCCAAGCAATCACTTTGCCGAGTTCTGTCAGGGCTTGCGCTTCAATCCGGCTTCCGCCGTTCAGGTGCTGGTGCTGCGCGGCAGCAACCTGGGCACCGCGGGCGCACTTCACCTCGCCGATGCCCTCCAGGTTCGGCCTATGCGGTTCTGTATGGCCACCATGATTGCATTCTCAAGACGTCATTTGCGTTTTTGATCCCACAGAGCCTCAAGCACGGCCTTCCAGTGCTGGACATATCCTCCTGCCACATCGGCCCGAAGGGGTACCTCCTATTCCCTCTCATGAGCACTCGGCCATCTCTCCATTGATCCGTCTCTTGTGCGCGCAGGATGTTGGCCATCTTTTCTTCGTTCATGCGAAACTTCTCCATGTCGCTGACCATCACGTCGCTGGACATCTCTCGCAACAAATGCGACGACCCCTGCTCGGGTACCTCCTCTCTTTTCCTTACAATTGTGCGTTTGCATGCCTCTCCAGCTCCCTGGCTAACCTTTTGTTCGGTGTCAGACCTTTTCGCGCAGTGGCTGAATGCGGTGAAGGAGTACAGCCCGCTCCAGCGTTTGGTCATAGCCGACCTATCTCTCAACTACACCCTCATCGGGTCAGCCCTACGTCACTTCAAGGTACCGCCTCTTTCTTCCTTCACCCGATGATCATCCACTCACCCGACCTCTCTGTTTCATCTACGCACGAAAGAACCTCGTCGAGTTGAACGTATCTAGCAACAAGCTGGATCATGGTGAGTGCGCTCGCTAGCCTGGTCGGACAACCGCCTTCGGAGTCCTCACTCACTTGCCTTTTTTTGTTCGTTCCGGTTCGTTATTAGCTGGGTCTCAGTTGGTGCGAACGGTGTGCGAAGTGAGCCGTACCCTCGCTACGATCGACCTGTCCTCGTGCCATCTCGCCGGTACCTCCTTACCTCTTCTGGGCTGTGCGTCCTTTGCACACGTTGGCCAATGCTGTGTTGTTACGGTGGTGGGGCGATCAGGCGAGCATGTGGCGCTCGTGGCCAAGGCCGTTGGAGAAAATGGAAGCCTCCGGTCGGTCCGCCTCAACCTGGTACGCGTCCGGTTTTGCATTCTTTTTGATGAATTACAAGCAAGAACGGGGGCTTCTCACAATCACGGCTGCCCAGGCCAAGAACGACTTCGCCAGAAAGGACTGCTCGACGTTTGCCGGCTTCATCAGGCAATGCAAGAACGTGGCCTACCTTGATCTCTCCCACAACAAGGTACACTCTCATGTTCCATGACATGTCTGTCCTCACTGTTCTTCCCCCTTTTGATGCACTGCTCTCCCTCACCACTCTCGTACGTTTTCACGATGTCGCACAACAAGCTCAACAACAGAGGCATGGAGGAGATCTTGCAGAGCCTGACCGGGCTGCCCGCCCTTCACACTCTCATACTGGACCACGCTTGCAAGTACTTACGCACGCCCTTTTCCTTCAAGTCACTGTCTTTTCTGAGGCTCCTGTTAACTCCTATTGAAACCAGGTCCCCCGATGGTCAGACGGCCGGCGCTCTCTGCTCTCTGGTGTCTCAAAACCCCAACGTAGGCTGCTCCTGGTCTCCCCACCTGCTGCCGCTCGAGCCAGTGCTGCTGACGTGTCACCTCCTTTCTCTCTCTGCCCAGATCCGTGCGTTGCGTTTGGCTGGCGGGTGGGGTCCGGCGATGGACGCATTCCTGTCGCTCATCGCCAAGAACGAGACCCTCGAGGTACTCGCGCGCCCTCTTTGCCACCCTCTGGAGGCAGAGCAGCGCTGCTGATCAACCCCGTCTGGCAGGTGTTGGATATCAGCGACAACAAGCTGGGCGACAAGGGTGCGGCACTGATCGCCAACCTGTTGACCACGAACCCCATCCTCAAGCGTACGGCCACCAGCCCACCAACCAACCAACCAACCGGTCGTCGTTTGTCCCGACTAACAGTTCATGCCCTCTCCCTCTCGGGCTGGCACAGGCCTCGTGGTGGATGGCAACGGCTTCACCATCAGCGGATTTCAGGCCATCGCGCTCGGGCTCGTCACCAACACCACCCTTGTTCAGATGGTACTCACTGCGCCCTATGCGCCGGGTTGATCGCGCCACTACCGTGCTCAAGTACTCATGTCGTGTGTGTACCAGGGCTTCCCCTGGCAAGACTTTGACAAGGCCTGCAGCTCTATACCCTCGCCGAAGCAGCCGCACCTCGTACGTCTCCCCCTCCTCTGTCTGACTCAAGTGGATTTGAGGGAAGCCTGACGTTCTCTTCTCCTCGTGGTACATGCACAACGGTAACAGGACAACCTGCGCCAGAATGTGATGGAGGTGCAAGTTGCGCTGAGCAGGAACATGTACGGCCACTCCTCCGTTCAGTCCTTCGAACTCAACCCCGACGAAACACAGGTTCGTTCGTCTCCTTTCGTACCATGGTCTTTACGCTCTCCGCGTTGCTCTCTGTGAGATCACCTTTTCAGCGCCTCTGACCTACGGAAACCCTGATCTGCAGCTGCCCCTGCGGCCAAAGCCTCGCCTCTGGCTCAAGTCCCTGCCGAGGTATGCCTTGCATTCATGCGCCCGTTGTAGCTGGAGCTGATATCAATCCGGTGTGTTCTACAACACAACGATGGTGATTGTTTTTTGCAGCTGCTGGCGGTGCAGAACGAAGCGCCTCCGCTGCCGCCCTACGCCGGCGAGTCCTCCGGGTCGGTGGTGCTCTCGCCCCGCTCGGGGTCTGCCGACGACATCGGGACCTGCCCCCCGCCCACTCCCGGCTACGAGTACTTCGCCCCGCCGCCCTACGTAGGTCCGGGGATGGACGGAGCCGACGACGTCGCGCCGCACATGTCCCCCATCCCCGCTCCGCCTCCGCGAGACGACTGAGCGACACCTCCCCCCACGGGTCCTGGCCCGTCTCAACTATTTATTCGGTGGACACCACTTGTTGCAGCTAATGTGTTGTTGGGTGTTTACTTTTTTTTTGTTTTGAACATGTTTGCTCTTATTTTTCTGTGTTATCCGGCGAAATTTCTCACCAAGTGCAAAATGCTGGAATGGCCCTCGCTTCTGCTCTGGGCAGTTGGTGGGCTAGTGCGCACACCAGAAGAACAGAACACAACAAGCGACACGCAAGACATGTCTGAGCAGCAGGGAATCGACCTTTCGGGTGACGGAGGCGTGCTGAAGACGATCATCGTCGAGGGCACCGGCACGGATACGCCCCCCTCTGGTTCTGACGTCACTGGTACATCAATTTCCCACCCAATGCGATTGTGCAGGCTGTGGTGCCGCGATTTTGCCATTTTTAATCTCAATCAATTTCTCACCACATTACGATCTGCAGTACACTACACGGGCACGCTGCTGGATGGAAAGAAGTTCGATTCGAGCCGCGATAGGGCTGAACCATTCAAGTTCAAGCTCGGGGCGGGGCAGGTGATCAAGGGCTGGGACCGCACCGTGGCTACCATGAAGCGCGGCGAGCAGTGCCGCGTCGTGCTCCGCTCCGACTACGCCTATGGCAAGAACGGCTCGCCGCCCACCATCCCCGCCGATGCCACCCTCGGTACGCACTCCAGTCGCTTCACCTCGCTACGCGCCCAGTAGTGTGCCGACGACGTAGAGCTCATCTATCGACTGTGCGGTTGTTGTTGTGCCGACGCAGTGTTTGACATCGAGCTGCTGAGCTGGAAGGACGAGGAGGACCTCACCCACGACGGCGGCGTCCTCAAGAAGGTGCTGCGCTCGGCCTCGCCAGAGAGCTGGGAGAGGCCCAAGGACGACTCAGAGGTGAAGGTCTCCTACACCCTCACCACGGCCGATGGCCAGCACATCGAGTTCAAGACCAACTTCACCTTCGTGCTCGGCTCCGACGCCGTGCCCGCCGGACTGGAGAAGGTACGAACAAGAAGAAGGGCCTTCTTGATGCTGCGGTCCAGCTACGTCGCGGCTCAATGCTGACGTGTGACGCTGGCAGGGAGTGGAGAGCATGAAGAAGGGCGAGAAGGCGCTCCTCAAGGTGAGCGGCGACTATGCCAAGGGCCACCCGGCTGCGCCCGCCGACGCCACGCTGCACTACGAGGTGGAGCTGCTGGAGTTCACCAAGGAGAAGGCCTCGTGGGAGATGACCAACGAGGAGAAGATCGCCGCTGCCCAGAAGAACAAGGACGACGGTAACGAGCTCTTCAAGGCCGGTAAGTTCAAGGGCGCCATTAAGAAGTACAAGGTACATAGACAGAAGAGCTTCCTCTTGGTCGTCGTTGCTGGCTCACAGCCGCGTGCGTTGTGGTCATAACTCACACGATCAACTGACAACGCCAACGCCAACGCCAACGCCAAATCAGAAATCGTCATCGTTCGTGGAGAACGAGAACTCGTTCACGGAGGAGGAGAAGGCGCAGGCCAAGCCGCTCAGGGTCACCGCCCACCTCAACACCGCGGCGTGCAACCTCAAGCTCAAGGACTACAAGGCCTGCATCGAAAACTGCGACAAGGTGCCATTCCTCAACTTTTGTCACAACTAGTTGCCCCTTCCGGCACGTGAACGTTAGCTGAACCTAACGCGTTCACTGGGACGGAATCCACATAAAAGGCGTTGAAGCTGGACGCGCGCAACATCAAGGCCCTGTTCAGGAAGGGCAGGCACTGTCGGCCCTCGATGAGTGGCGCGATGCCGAACTCACGCTCAACCAGGCCCTCGAGCACGAGCCCTCGAACAAGGACGTTCAGCGCGAGCTCGCCCTCCTCAAGCGCAAGGTACGTCTCCCCTTGTACTTGTACCAGTTGGCCGATTGTATCGTTGCGACATTGACACCAACCACCGTATATCCGCAGGTGGCGGAGCAAGAGAAGAAGGACAAGAAGAGATACGCCAACCTCTTTGCCCGCCTCAGCGCCGACGAGAACCAGAGCTGAACGCAATTAAGCGTGGTGCCGCACACAAGCAGACCCCAAAGGAAGTGCTCCACTCGCCTGCCTGCCATGGCGCGCCGCCCTGGTCGCCCCCAACAACAAGCTTGCTTGCTCGCATGTGATCTGTTCTCTCTGATCATCGCATAAACAGGTCCAAAACGCCACCATCGCTTGGCTTCGTTGTCGGCACCACAACAGAACTGCAACTACGTAGATTGCTACTTGCGAAGGAGGTATTGTTCCACGAACATGGCCTCCCGCTCGAGGTAGAAGTCGATGTTGACCTTCTTCTTGAAGCCGTGGCCTGGTGCGCAACCGTGCCGTGACGTGAGAAACATCGCCTCGCGCTCGATGACGGTCATGGGGAGGTAGGCATAGTACCTTCGTCCTTGGCGAGAATGTACCACACGGGAGCGTCGGGCTTGCGTATCTGCTTCACGATCTGCTCCGACTCAGACTCGGGCACGCGCGGGTCATTCGCGCCCTGGGAGATGAGCATCGGCTTGCTGATCTCGTGTGCGCGGGCGGTGGGCGATATCTCCTCCAGGAACTTCCTCATCTCGGGGATCCGTTCATCGCCGTACTCCTCCCGTCGCTGGTGCGCTTCAAGGTTGAGTGACACGCAAGATGACACACACACACACACACACCGCACACACACACACACACAAAGAGAGAGAGAGAGAACGTGGTGCAACGTACGTTGTCACGTCGGTAGGCGGAGGTGTTTTCGAGGAAGGTGACAAAGTTGCTGATACCCACCCGCTCCACACCGCAGCACAGTTCCTTGCCGAAGTGGATCATGGACGCCAGCACCATGTACCCGCCGTACGAACCTCCGTCCACCATCACACGATCCGCGTCCAGCTCCGGCTACGCGCGACACACATACACACACACACACACACACACACACACACACAAGGTGTAAAAAGCGGTTGAAGTGGCAGTGGAAGTGGTGAGTAGGAGGGTTCACCTGCTGCTTGACCCACTGGATGAGCATGCCGATGTCCTTGACCGAGTCTTCGCGCTTGAAGCCGTCGTCGAGCAGGAGGTAGGACTTTCCGTAGCCCGAAGACCCGCGCACGTTGGGGGCCAGCACCGCCACGCCCATCTCGCAGCAGTAGTACTGCACCCGCGGAATGAACTGCGGGCGCCACTGGCTCTCTGCATAGCACCGCCGCCTTTAGTGTTCGGCGCCCTCTGCTGTGCCGTGTGTGTGGTCGTGTTGTGTGAGCGCAGGCGCCAACGAACCAGGTCCTCCGTGAATGGTGATGATGACGGGGAGCTTTTTGTCGGCGGCCGGCAGTTCGCGGGGCTTGTAGTAGAAGGCGGGAATGGTCCGCTTGGTGCCTTCTTCGCCCTCCTCGTCGTCGAACGTCTCGAAGTGGATCAGGCTCGGCACCACGAAGGACTCGGTGTTGAGGCCGCCCACTTCGCTGAACGTCCAACGCACCGGCGGCGCCGGCGCCACAGCCGCCTCACCTTCACCCTCACCCGAGGGCGCGTCGAGGGTGTAGATATCGCCGGGCGTCTGGGCCGTGTTGAACACGATGCCAATCTGTCGGCTGTTGGGGTGCCACCTGTTGTGTCACCCAGGGCGAAGCGGGGGTCAGCTGATGCAGGCAGGTGTGTAAGGGGAGGGCAAACGCAGTACCTGGCGGAGTAGGCCAAGCCCACGGGCGTGTTGGCGAGGCGCTGGTACTGGAAGGTGGTGGTGTCCATGACGTAGACCACCGAGATGCCGTCTTCGTTGGTGATGAACAGCAATCGCTTGCCTTTTGATCGGCCACCGCCGCCGCCACCACGTGTTAATCTCAAGCGCTTGGGCGAGCGCTTGGCCGCGACGAAGTCCTTACCATCGGGTGACAGCTCGAGCGCGTCGATGTCCCACGGGATGCCAGCGGTGAGCATCTTCGGCAGCGTGTTCTCGCTTCGCCAAGCAGCACAAAGAAGAGAGAGAGAAAGAGTAGGAAATGAGGACTCTCACACACACGAGTGTGGAAAGGCAGGCGCACGGTAGCAATACCTGAGGTCGTAGTAGTAGAGGCGCTGGAACTCGCCCGTTTCATCGGAGCACATGAACAGCCCCTCGCCGTCCTTGGTGAACAGAGCCGGGCCGTAGGAGATCTGCAGGTGGTGGTGGTCGCGGCACAAATTGCCGGCCTCGTGAGCCCTCTGGCCAGGGGACGGCATTCGAGTGGTGGGGGGGGGCGAGATTCATAGCGCACCTTGTCCTCGCTCGGGTTCACTTGCATCAGCGCCTTGCTCTCCAAATGCAGCACATGGACCAGCGACTCGTTGGCACTGTTTGTGTGTGTGTGGTGTGTGTGTTGTTGTTGTTGTTGATGATGATGATGATGATGATGTAGGTAGGTAGGTGCGTACCTGATGTATTTCTTGACGAGCAGCTTGGACCCGTCGTGCGACCAGTCCGTGGGGTACCAGGAGCCGCCCTCGCTCAGTACCATCTCCTGCTGCGCGGGCGCCTCACCGAAGCTCCCGGACAGATCGCTCACGTAGATGTCCCAGTCCTTCCCATTGCGCTGCGTGCTGAAGTACGCGAATCGGTCTCCGCTCGGCGCCCTGCTCATCCATGAACACACGACACACGACACACGACACACGACACACGACACACGACACACGACACACGACACACACGTGTGAGCAGTTAACTGGAGAGAGAGCCACTGACGTGTAGCAGTGGAAAGTGGAAAGTGGATTGGGTGGGGTACGGTACCAAGTGATCGAGCCGTACTTGGAGACGCCGTCGGACAGGAGGGCGTACTTGGCCGTGGCGAGGTCGAAGTGATAGATTTGGTACTGCTCGGCCCCGCCCACGTCCCGCAGGAACAGCACGCTGCAGCAGGAACAGGTGACACGCATTGACCATCACCACTGGTGAGTACTAGAGCCGCTTCTTCATCTGGTGCGTGGTGGAGGTGCGGTGGTGAGAACCTGTTGCGGTATGGGGACGCGGGGTTGAGGCACATCGAGGCAGACAGCACGGGCTCCTTGAAGAACGTCAGCTGCTTGCGAAACCTGCGTGTAGAGATCATCAAGATTCAATGTGTGGGGCAGAGCTGCAGCAGGGGCACCGGTGCGAAGGGAGAGAAAGAAATACCCAGCGGGGCGGGAGATGTAGTGGAGTTGAGTGGTGTCGGCGAAGCGGGTGGAGATGAGCATACCCTCCACCTGATCCGCAGAGTCTGCGGATGCACGGTGCCATTCGTGCAGGTTGGCCCCACGAGTGTTCTGGTACTGCTCGAGCCGCTGCGTGATGTGCGGCACCGACTCGGGCACGTCCTCCAGCACCAGATTGCCCACCTCCCTTCGCTTCACCTCCATCTCAGGCACTTTATTATATTTATTTTCTGTTACACCAAGATGGAGACCGCGCACGAGGACGGTGTAGGCTGCTTGATACAAAGGCTGGACCACTTGGTGCTGACGGTGGCGAGCGTTGAGAAGACGTGCGCCTTCTACGAGCGCGTGCTGGGCATGGAGGTAGTCTCGTTTGGCCCGCAACAAGCGAGAAAGGCGCTGCGCTTCGGTCAGCAGAAGATTAACCTGCACCAGGCGGGCTCCGAGTTCGATCCCAAGGCCCTACGCCCCACGCCCGGGTCGGGCGACCTCTGCTTCGTCACGGCCCTGTCGCTCGACGACGTGGTGGCACACCTCACCAAGTGCGGGGTCGCCATTGAGGAGGGGCCGGTGGCCCGCACCGGCGCCATGGGTCCGATCCGCTCCGTCTACATCCGCGACCCGGACGCCAACCTCATCGAGATCGCTAACTACGACGCCTGATGCCAGTGCGGAGGGTAGATGCGACAAGAGTTCTTGTCGTTCTTTTCCAGGTGACCAGGCAGCCAAAAACCGGTTTTGGCTGGCAAAGCCACCAGTGGTGAGTAAATCCTGGACAAATTTTCATCGTTACTTGGTGATCTGTGATGGAGATTGAAGGACACAAGACCGAGGTGGGCAGCAGTACGGCGGAGACCCGTCCGTTGCCGTTTCATCTCATTCGCATCAGCCCGCAGCGCGATTTGCTTCTCTTGGTTTCTGGATCGAGCTTTTCCATCTACAATCTCAGGCAAGATTATCCCTTCACCTCAAGCCTTTCTCTATAATTTATGCTCATTCGTGGTCAATCTTCATTCAGAGAGGGCCAATTTGTGCAATTCCAAGGGGAGGAGAGCAATCAGCACTCGGATTTGATTCGAAGCGCAGCTTGGAACAGCAACGGAACCGCCCTGGCCACAGTGGGAGACGACAAGGTCGTCAAGTTGTGGCTCATTCACGATGGCCGCACTTATCACTACCAGGGAGAGACCCAGTACCTACGTCTCCTCCGCGACAGCTGCACTTGGTCGGCTTGCTAAGCTTTCCTTTGGCCATGTCTTCGTTGTACAGGAAGAACCCGAAGAAGCTCACCAGCGTCGTCTTTGCTTCCGACCCCGAGGGTGAGGTCATCGTCTACTCCGACAAGGTGCGCCCCTCACGTGCTCAGGCCCTGTTAGCACGCTCTCTTTCCTTCTCTAACACCTCCCGCGCATTGTGGGCGCTGTGCCCTCCGCCAGTTCGGTGAGGTGTTCTCATCGCCGGTGGCTCGACCCAACGAGCAGCCCAAGGTCTTGCTGGGCCATGTATCGATCATCACCGAAGTGGTAAGCCTCCTTCTCTCTTCTTTCTCTTTGTGTTGTTGTTGGTGGGATGTTTCCCTTTGCGGTGTGGGTGGGGTGTCAACGTTGTTGGTCCTCACCCTGGGCGGACTCCAGCTGCTGTCTCCGGGCGGAGACCTGCTCCTCTCTGCGGACAGAGACGAGAAGATCCGGGTGAGCCAGTACCCCAAGGCCTACAACATCGAGGCCTACTGCCTCGGCCACACACAGTACTGCGCTCCCCCCCCCTCTGCGCAGAGCATAGCCATAGATACCGGTCGGACGCTGACTGCTGTGTGCGCGCGTGCCCACAGATTCGTGAGCAGGATCTACATCCCCACATCGCAGCCGTCGGTGCTCTTCTCGGGCAGTGCTGACGGTACTGTGCGCGTGTGGCGGTACCTGGTCGGCGAACTCCTGCACACGGAGGACCTGACGCGAGGCGATGCCACCAGGCGGATCGTCACCCTCCCCGTAGCCTTCAGCGACGAGAAGCAGACGCTTGTCGTCCTCGTCGAGGGGTACTTACCCCCCAGGACTCATCATTCGAATCAGCTTCTCGTGCGTGAGCTGACCTCTCCTCGACTCAAAAGGGTGAACTCGGTCTACCTGTTCAAGTTGGTCGACGGCAAGGAGCTGAAGGAGGCGCAGGTGCTTCCGCTCCACTCGGCCCCCTGGGACGCGGCCTTCGACAAGGAGGACAACCTCTGGGTGTCAACCTCCTCCGGCGTCGAAGTCCTTACCAGCAGCGCCGACGATACCTACTCCCCGCTGGCTGAAGGTACTCCCTCCGTGTGCGTGTGCTGTGTGTCGTGCGCATTAGGCCGCGTGCTGAGTGTGTCGTGTGCGTACGCAGGACACGCTCTGGGCGCTAAGCTGCAGCAGCTGAACGAGAAGCGCGAGAAGCAGGCGAAAGCGGTGCTGGAAAAGAATGTGGAGAAGGCGCTGGCCTACGGTGCGATGAGGAAGCGGACGGCGGAGGACAAGGCGCAGGCCAAGAAGAGGAAGATCGAGGAGGCCAACGCCAATCCCGATCTCGTCAGCGCCAAGGAGAAGCGAAAGGAGCGGAGGAACAAGGCAAAGCAGGCCGAGAGGAAGAAGAAGGAGACACCGGCAGTGGACGACACCGTGGCGCCCATGGACGAGGTCAAGAACGTAACAGGCGAGGAAGAAGAAGAAGAAGAGAAGACCTCGTCTGCGTGAATCAGGACCAGAGACGTCGGAAGAAATACCTTTTCCACTGTTCTACACAGCCAAGAGGCGGCCGCCATCAGATGTCGATGATGACAAACACTTCACTGCGTTCGCCTTCGGGCTTCTCCATGATCTGCATTGCGCTGTATGTGATCGCCTGTGTGAACCGATTGAAGAGTGCCCGGGCAGTCAGTCACTGCCCACAGTCCGTCGGCAGCACGGCAACAGTCAGCGGCTAAGGAGTGGAGTGGGACAGACCTTGACTTCGGTGCCCTGGGGATGCTTATCGAGGTCGAAGGGTTCGCCTCGGCCCACGGCCCGGATCTTGAAGTTCTCCCGATCGAACTCGACGATCTCCACCTCCTTGCTGACGATGAGCTCGGTGGAAAACACGAAGAGGAACTCGTCCAGAAAGTTGAACAGCAGAGAATCGAGGTCATGGCCTGGTGAACGTGCACGCCGCATGGAGTGAGAGAGTGAGTCGGCAACAGGGAGCGACACGGCGGCACTGTGGCACTGCAGTGAACGTTCTAGCGAGGGGGAGAGGGGTGCAGGGTACCCTCGACTTCAACTTCGCACTGGTCCTCGACGTCAACGGTGTCGAGGTCGGTCATGTACCCGAACATGCCCACCACAGCCTGCTCGTAGGCCTGCTTCAGGCTCTCACCCCCTTAGGCCGAGAAAATGAGCAAGCGAGAGCAGAGCAGTTATGATTCCGTCCGAGGGAAACGTACAAGCATGAATCTGAACATCGGCAGGGTGATCCAGATCTGAACGTGATCGATCGTCAATCAATAAATGTGAAAATGCACAGAGATGAGAATGGGACACCAGAAACTGTACATTCGTAGCCAAAGGGCTCTGACAAATCGTTCCCGCTCTCCTTCTCACCTCCCCCGCCCCTCGCCCTGTCCTGTTCCATCCTTGTTCTAGATTGAAGAAAGAATAAATAAATACTTATTATTACGTTACATTTGCACCCTGCCGCGCGAGGGAAGAGTGGCGGGGAGAAGAGAGGAGAAGAAACAAAATAGAAAGAGAAGAGAGAGAAGAGGGAGAGACTCGCGCAGCGTCAGGTACAGGGGCTTAACACTCACTACAAGAGATACACGACACGACACGACACGACACGCCACAAGGGACTGACCCAGCGTGGGGCAGTCGGGTATGATGATAGGATAGGGCGGAGGCTGGAGCTCGCTCCTTGAGCGAGCGCGGTGGGCGCATCAGGCTCTGCTTCGGCCTGGAACATGCCGCCGCTGCTGCGGGCCAGGCGCGACTCACTTCCCTCCTCTGTTGACGTTGGTGGAAATACCGTGTTAGTACTCACGATGATCAGCGAATGAATGAGCCGTAAGTGGGTGGGTGGAGAGACGTACGGGAAGGGCGCGCTGCTGGCCAAGTCGTATCCCTTGCCCGAATCCATGTATTGATAGGAGAAACGAGTCGATGAAGATTGAAATGTGGAATGGTTGCGTCTCAGCGTTTTCTGTGTGTGTGACAAACGAAACGACAAGCTTTAGTAAGCAGAGAAGACACGCCACCACGCTACATCATCACCATACTTTTATTTTTGTTGCGCTGGACGGTGTTCACGTCAATAATGATCGTAGTAGCCGCAGAGGTGTCGGGCGCGGCGGGCCACAAGTCGAGAGAAAGAGGGACCTGGTTGTTGTTGTTTTGTTGTTTTTTTTTTTTTTTGTCTGTAGTGTTCGTTGGTGAAGACGTTAGCGAACAACCCCCTTTGTAAAAGAGTAAGAACAGATCAAAGGGGAGAGCACGTACGAGGTCGGGGGCTGCGCACTAGTGGTTCCTCTGCTCGTCCAGGAAGCGGTGGTAAGCGTATGTGGCCTCCGCGAGGCTCCTTTCCTCTTCCAGCCTCCGCATGGAGATCCATAGGCACATGTCCATGCCCTCGGGCTGCTCCGGCGGCGGCGTGTAGAGCACCTCTTCGAGCCACGCCAGCTAAGCGATGTGCGCTCTCAGGCCCGCGTCCCTCTCTCTGGCCGCGGCGGTCTCGGCGGCAGCCTGCTGTGTCATGGCCACGACCACGGCGGCCTGGAGCACGGCGACGGCGACGGCGGCCTGCCGGGACAGGGCCACGACCACGGCGGCCTGGTGCACGGTGGTGGGCTGCTGGGCCACGACCACGGCGGCCTGGAACACGGCGGCGGCGGCGGGCTGCTGGGGCACGGCCACGACCACAGGGGCCTGGAACACGGCCACGGCAGCGGCGGCAGGCTGGCCTGTGACGTTGTGCCCGCGACGGAGCGCTGCGTTCACGAAGCGGCGAAGCGTCAGGGCCGGGCCAGGGGCGTGATGGTGGTGGTGTGGCGGCGGGCTGGGGCCGGGAACGGGGCGAGGGCAAGGGGGTGGGGGGGGAAGCGAGTCCTTCGTGGCCCACAGGTAGACCGCGTAGAGCAGCTCATTTCCGACCAGCTGCGCCGCGAACACCGCCACCCACCGCGGCACCACGATGTTGGTGACGACTCCCGCCAGCGCTGACGATAGAGTGGTAGTCGTAGCCCACGAGGGCACCACCTCAACCGATGGCCACGACGAGGGGAGTGTGGGCCTCGACGGGAGGGCCGAGTGGAGGAAGGCCCCGAGGTGCCGCTTGACCGATGATGATGTCAAGCCCTTGTGCGAGCTCAACTCGGCCTCGGCCTCGACCTGAGTCGCGAAGCCGCGGGCCAGGCCGTGCGCGACGTCCTGCTCGAGGGTCGCGAACGAGTTGCTGTCGATGCTGTTCTCTTTGTTTTTGTTCTTGATCTTGTTGCAGAAGATTACGAAGATGTCATTGACGTTGAGAGGTCCGGGACGAGCCGACTCGACGTTGTTGTTCTTCTTCTTCTTCTCGAAGTTGAAGTTGAAGGCGCTGTTGCCCTCGAATGGTCCAGGGCGAGTCGTCCTCTCGACCCCTTCATGAAGGAAAGGGGGTGGGGTAGCCGTTGAAGGGGCTGCTCGTACTCGCCAAGGCCTCGACTGGGCGATGGACGATGTCGTAGCCCATGACCGGTCGAGATGATTTCGATCAACACGACGAAACAAATACACCAGAGAGTGAAAGCACGTCGCGCTGCGCGTGTGCGGACGTACCATGAGAGCCCAGTCAGAACTCTGGGTGTTTGCTGGTCGAGCATCATAAGTGACCAGTTTCCTCTTCTCGGTCATTGTTGTTCGAGCGCAAAAACGCTTGACGCTACAAGAGAGGTCTCTGCATTTTTAGGGATCGAAATCCAACGGACAACAAAAAGATGGGAAGGACAACAAAAAGATGGGAACAAGCCTGACCGCGAGCTTAGTTTTTTCCTTTCCATTTCACGAGAGTTGCAGCGAGAAATCAATAAGGAAAATCCCCATTGGTAAACTTAGTACCCGTAGCAGCAACAATCCTTTTTTGTACTCGTGGGTTCCCTTGCAGCCGTTAGCCGTTGGGAAGACATAACCCTCATCTCAGGGCAAGAGGATCCTCTTGCGTGCGCAGGCCTTCCAGTTCTTCGATAAAAGCAAATAAATAATCAAATATTCACAACTTATGTGCGAGGAACATACTCAAAGGAGCCCGGGGTGCTGGTTGGCTTCAGCTTCTTGCATACGCCGTTCAGCATGTCGCCGATCCACTGCTCCAACTCCCCGTGGTCAGCCGGGCCGAAGAGCATCCTTGCGGGGTCTTGGCCGACGCTACTCCGTCGTCGCATTCGTGGCAGGCCGAGTAATGAGAGATCCAGCACGTTGTCGTTGTCATCTTCTGCTCCTGGGCTGTCCGCACGGGTATTTCTATCCGCGCCCCTTCTCCTTCGCTCGGCCTTGTTCGTGGTTCGGTTTCCTCCATGTGCTGTGGTCCTTCGTTCGCGTCCACGACGGGTAGCACCTTTCGACACTGCACCTCTATCCGGCTTGCTATCCCAACGCTTCCAAGGTCCATGCGGGCTTCGGGCTGTGCCATCCTAGTTTTTTTTGAACCGACGAGAAGCTTGAGGAAGCGTTTTGAACCGACGAGAACTGTATTGACGGCTGTATGGTTGCCTCCGCTCGGGTGGTCGTGCGGTCTTATGTCAACTTTAGCCTCCGTAGTTACACTACTCCGCTAGTTAAAATCGAGCGTTACCCGCGGGTCCTTGTCCTAAAGCGTGGTGTGCTCAACTTGACGTTGGTGGTAGTTAGCCATTTTCCGAAGAAGGTTGCCTTTTATGCATCTTGTTACCTTTATGGACAGTAGGGCACCTTACGCGCCTGCACCACGTACATGGGATCGGTCTCGCCGGGGTGGGGCGAGATATCGAGCGACTCAGGAGGGGCGAAGCCCGGCGTGTAATGAAAGTAGGAGCCCACCAGGTAGACTCGCTCCCGATCACTGATGTGCAGCCATATATCGATCACCTTCTCGGGAAGCATCGGTTGCTGAAGCTGCACGCACGAAACACACGCCTTAGACTTGCTCACTCAACGAGAGAGCTGCAGACGCGTCGGCACGGCGGGCGTTTTGTTCACCTCATGGCGCAAGTGCCGCCGGGCTTGAGCACTCGGTGCACCTCCTTGAAGACCCCCATCGGGCGAGTGAGGTAGTCCACGCTCACCGAACAGAGAACCACATCAAAAGAGTCGTTGTCGAAGGGCAGCTCCACCTGATGAGGCAGTCAGTGAGATGACGAAAAGATCAGCCCCCCCCCGGGGGGCACAAGCGCGTTACCTGCTCTTGGTTCAAGTCGAGCACTCGTCGCTCCGTGAGAAGCGGGTTGGCACGCAGCTCCTCCTCGTTCATCCCGACCCCCACCAGCCGCTTCACCTTGAGGTCGTCCGGCAGGTGCGACGTCCAGGAGGACATGAGGTCCAGCACGCTCGCCTCTGGGTATCGAACCCAAGAAGCGTGAATAGGGGCTGAAGAAGATGCACAAGAATGAAGAGATGACGCACCGCCATGGTAAGGTTCGATGAGGGTCAAGTAGTGCCTTTGGACGGCTGCTCGTGCAGCGTCGTCGATGTGATGCACGTTCACACGGGGCTCCTCGTAGAAAAGTGAATCGGGCTGCTCATCTGCGCGTTGAAAGGACTCGGGCGGGAAGGGAAAGGCGGCGGGCCACGTTGCATGCGTTGTTATCACCTTGCTCACCGCCATAGAGCGCGGCAGCTTCGGGAACAGAGCTCGCCAAGTGCTGCTCATCCTCGCGTTTGCTCATCTTTTCTTCATGTTTTCTTTTTCTTCTTTTGCTGGCTGAACTTTTGTCGCGAATTATTTTAATATTATATTCTTTTCCTGGGCCACACGCACAAGAGTTTTCATCCCGTTGGAGAAAGATGAAGCGGCTCACGTTGCTTGCATCTCTGTTGCTTCTGCTTTGCGTGGCAACTCATGGTGCCAATGCCCTTCCTTCGAACTCCCTCAACTTCCCAATTAATCTATTTTAAGAACAAATTCCTTAGGATTTGGGATGCCGCCGTTGAGACAAGAAGGCTCCCTCCTCAACGAAGCCTCGCTAAGAGATCTGGCGGAGGTCGCGGAAGGCCATAGGCAACAGCCGCATCACGACTTCTCGCCCAAACACGACGCCGACCGGTGGCGGGCTCTCTTGGTGGCCGCCGCCGAGCAGGACGTCTACACCACCGCCAACGTACGGACACCGGGGGGAGGGGGACGCTTCGCTTTCGTTCTTTGGTCTTCTCTCTTCTAACTCGGAGGTGCCCGGTGTGGTCATTAGTTGGCGTTGCGACGCATCAGCGAACTGAAGGCTCAGCACCCGTCCCTGTTTGCTCAGCTCACCTGTGTCGGCTCTGAGGTGCCCTCCGCCGAGGCCGCTCATTCTCAAAGTTTGGTTTTCTTTTATTCACCCGCCGTTCTCTCGACAAAAGGTGATCGAGTCGCAACGGCTGGATCACGGGCCACTGCTGTCGTACTACATCGTGGGCGGGCGGGAGGAAGGTGGTGATTCGCTCCAAACAGGCCGTCGCCCCTTCCTGCCGGCCAAGGTGGGCATCGACACTGGTCTGTCGTCCGCGTGCTTTCCCGCCAACTTCCTCGCACTGCCCGTGCGCTACGAAGCGCCCGCCGTGATCTCAGCCCGACGCATCCTGCCCCTCCACGAACGGGACATCAACGTCGAAGAGGTAAGCCGGCCCTTTGAATGCCCACATACATTACCACGTGGCCATCAGCAACATCACTGACTCTCTCGCCACGTATTCGGACATAAAAGTACGCCAAGCAGGTCGCCACCCAAAAGTCGGGTTCGACCCAGTGGCGCGTGGTGAGCGCGGAGGAAGAGGTGCTTGTCTGTCCTTTCTCTAGATACACCCGATGGCTGCTGACGGGCACAGCCGATGCCGGTTGGAGAAGTGGTTGACTGACAACCAAGCCCGGGTTGGCGTGCTGTGCAGATGACCCGAGTGACGTTCAATGTGTCGGCATTCGTGCTGAGCGTGGTGGAGCTGCCCAGCGGTCAGTACCTCGTGGCAGTCTATGGGCGGAGTGCCGACGCGCCCGACCACATCGTCGAACGAAACGTGCAAGTGCTGCTGGCCGATCAGCGCGGCGACAAGCACCAGGTACGCTCGCCCCAAACAATGCCTTTTCGCAGAAAGAAGCTGCTAAGCGTTGTTTGTTTTTGTCGCAGGTCGTGGTCTCTTCGTCATCGTCGTCGCCGCCCTCGAAGAAGCGAGCGGCACCCGTCTACCGCGTGTCTAAATTCTCTCGTCTCTCAGTTTCCAGGTATCATCACATCGCCCATTCAGGAAGAGAAGGCAATGACTCACGCATGTGTGCATCTCTCTGCTGCAGCGACGTTGGTGCTATGAAGGGCAGGAGGGGTGCCGACCCGAACTCCCGTACGCTAATGAGCTACAACATCTGGAACTACAACGCCGACTGGCAGGAGAGGAAACGCCTGATCGCGCAGTTTGTACGTACGCTTCGGCTTGGTCGCTTTGGCTGTGTTCGCGTTGAGAGGAGGCTTACCAGAGCCGGTGAACAACCACAACGATTTCCGTGCGTGCGTGCAGATTAGCAAGCAGCAGCCAGACATTGTGGGCGTGCAGGAGATCCGGTACAAGTACTCCGGCGGTCCCGACCAGCTGACGGACCTTGTCAACGAACTGCAGCTTCTCAACCAGACCTACAATCACGTCTATCAGCCTGCCATGTACTACGACAACGAGGCACGTTTTTCGCTCTCTCTTCTCTCTCTCCATCGAGGTGATCGTCGATTGCGAAAGCTAATACGCGCCGTACCTATGAACCCAGGCCGAGGGTGTGGGCGTGCTTTCGCGAGTGCCCATCGCCATCCACGAATACATCAACCTCACCTTTGTTCCTGGTACGGATGCTCTTTGCAGAGTAGGGCCAACGGCCATTGAGTTGATTAACACGTGCTGCTTCTTCAGGCACTACCGACGGCAATCGGCGAATCGTTCTACGCACTCTGCTGATGGACGCGAACAACGCGCCCTTCAACTTCTTCGTCTCCCACTTCACCTACGCCATCGGCGAGGGCCAGATGAGCAACGCTTTCGGTACGTCCGTCGCCGCAACATTCTCGGCTTTGGCTTGGTGGCCATAAAAACGAACGTACGCTCATACTCTCACCTCCATCATTATTACCAGAACTTTTCAACTTCATGAGGCGGCAGCGGCCAGACGTTCCTCAGAGCGTGGTCGCCGATTTCAACATCTACGTTGGACATGTACGCTTCTCTCCATCATCATCGCACATTGTATTGTACAGCACGCCCGCTGATGCTCGTAGGCACTCTCAAAATAACACACTCGCATTCTCTTCTGTAGGAGGAACCGACCAACTTCCTCACTGGCAAGCTCTCTTACCGAGGCGTCAAGGGTGATCTCAAGGATGTGTGGCTTGATGCCCACGGTACCGACATCTCTGAAAGGTCGCTTCATGTTGAGCTGCACGGGTACCGAGAAGTGCTCTATGTTGTGCAACCTGCAGGTACCTCAGAGCCGGGCTACACATTCAGCAATCTGCCCTGGTCGTCGGGTCTCATCAATAGGGCCGACCGAATCCTGGTCCGCAACATGCCCTACATCCTTTCGCAGCCCAATACAACCGTCACCACGTACGAACGCCATTCGCCCCGCACCTTCTTTGGCAGCTTGACTGCTCACCCTGCGCGCTGCGTGTGTCTCAGTGGCCGCGTCACGCCCGGCGCCAACCCGGCGTCCGACCACCTGGCCGTGGCGTCTCACGTTTCGTATGTCACTAACAACACATGGACGCGACCGTAGCCCACCTCACCTCACACCCTTGTGGCGCAGCAAGAGATGAGCAATCACCTGTACGAGCATCCCGCTGATGATGGCGAAAACAAAGCTCCACTTGTCTTGCGCGCCCGCAGGTTGCAGCAGTACGTGGTGGAGCTGGACAGAAGCTCCGTGTTGGTTGCTGTCAACTCGGCCACCGCCGATTGGAGCCCGCGCCTCTTCTCGGCGCTTCTGTCCGGCGCGAAGTTCCCGCGTGCCCGGTCGCCACAAATTCTTTTCCTTCATTTATAAATAAATACAAGTTGCTTTGCTGGATTAGTCTCAAGGCACAAGCACAAAGACAAATGGAGGACGTAGAGCAGCTAAAGAGGGAGAATGAAGAGCTCAAGCGACAGCTGGCCGAGTACCAAAAGAGTGCCAGGGTTCGTGCATTACTGCTCGTAATCATGTGCATTAAATTCAAAACCTGATTAATTGATTCGTGTCTTCCACAGCCTCGTGATGCCGTGCTGACATCAGTCTCGCCTGGAGCTGCCATTGACGAGAAATCTGCCCTCACCATCATCGTTTTGGGTTGGACCCTTTTTGTTCCATTTGCATTCCTGCATTCCTGAGCAGAGGAGGCTGACCGCGTGCACATCTTCTTGCGTGGCGCAACAGGTGCCTCTGGCGACTTGGCCAAGAAGAAGACCTATCCCGTTCTGTTCTCGCTCTACCTCCACGGCTTGCTGCCGCCCAACGCCATCATCTACGGGTTTGCCCGAAGCAAGCTGGACGACGCCGACTTCAAGAAGCAAATTTCGCGCCAGTACTGCCACCCCTCATTACGCCCTTGTGTGGCTTGTGTTGCTGATGCGCTTGCTATGTTGAAGTTTCAAGAAGGCGCCAGAGGAGAAGGTGAACGGCTTCCTGGATCGGTGCTACTACTTCAGTGGCCAGTACAACTCGGCTGAGTCCTTCGCCGAGCTGGCCAAGGCCATGGACGAGAAGGAGTCTGCTTTCACCTCCGGGTCGCAGGTTTGTTCTTGCCTTGTCTTGCTCGTCGCTGAAGTGCTCCTTGGTTGCTGATTCGTTTGTCTTCATCCACTCACTCCCAAATTGCAGCCCGCCAACAGGATCTTCTACATGGCCATCCCTCCGTCCATCTTCTTGGATGTGGCGAAGGCTATTCAGCCCGCGGCCATGAGCAAGGTGCGCTCCCGAACCACGCATTTCCTCCCTGAGCGCTCCTTGGTCCAACGTGCCTCTCACAATCACACGACAATCACACAGACCGGGTGGAACCGTGTGATCGTGGAGAAGCCATTCGGCCACGACCTCGACTCGTCCAGAGCGCTCTCCAGCTCCATGTCGCAGCTCTTCACTGAAGACCAGTTGTATAGGATTGACCACTACGTATATACGATTACCGCCCACCCCACGTTTATGCTGCGCCTGCATGGTTGGCTCTGCGATTCCTGACGTTATGTCGCTCAGTTAGGAAAGGAGATGGTGCAGAACTTGATGGTGCTGCGTTTCGCCAACAGCGTATTCGAGCCCGTCTGGAACCGCAACTTTGTCTCCAACGTCATCATCACGTTCAAGGTACGCCCTCACCTATTCTATTTGACCATTCTTGGTTGAACACGATTCAACGCGCATTCTTCGACGTCGTGCGTTCCAACAGGAGGACATTGGCACAGAGGGACGCGGAGGCTACTTCGATGGCAACGGCATCATCCGTGACGTCATGCAGAATCACCTCATCCAGATTCTTGCGCTTGTTGGCATGGAGGCTCCCATCAGCCTCAGCGCCGAGGACGTTAGAGATGAAAAGGTACTCTACCTATGCTTCTAGCCCCTCCCCCAAGTCATCTCTGCTCACCATTGTGTTTGTTCAGGTCAAGTTGCTGCGCGCGGTGTCTGCGCTCACTCTGGACGATCTCGTGATCGGTCAGTACACCGCTAGCCCGGATGGAAAGACACCCGGATACAAGGTATTGCTTTCGTGCCCACTTGCACTTGAACCCGTACGCAAGTATTGATCGACTGTTGGCATATATCAGGAGGATCCAGGCGTGCCTCAGGACTCTGTGACGCCCACGTTCGCGGCGGCGGTCCTGCACATCAACAACTCCCGCTGGGCCGGCACTCCATTCATCCTCAAGTGCGGCAAAGGTGCCGAAATCTCTCATCTCTTCTTTGCAGCTGAGCACGGGCGTATGCGATCGTAGACGCTTGTTAAACAAGCTACGCGTTCTCTTCTCACAGCTCTGAACGAGCGCAAGGCTGAGATTCGCATTCAGTTCAAGTGCCCGTCTGCTTCTCTGTTCCCCGTACCACTCCCTGACTCTGTCGCTGCTCATTTCGCCTCACTCCACTCACGAATCTCTCTCTCTTCGTGTTGGTGATAACAGAACTGTTCGGCGCCCAACGAGCTGGTGCTTCGTGTGCAGCCCAACGAGGCCGTCTACATGAAGATGTTGACCAAGAAGCCAGGCCTCACCACCGCGCTCGCGCAAAGCGAGCTGGATCTCTCGTACAAGTCCCGGTTCGAAGACCTGGAATCGCCGGACGGTGCGTTTGACACTACCTGCTTTCTTTCCAACAAGGCGTCGTGGTCACACATCCGTGCTGACATTTCAAGGCCTCTTCTTTCTCAGCCTACGAGCGTTTGATCTTCGATGTCATCAAGGGCGATCACAACCTGTTTGTGCGCGACGACGAGCTCGAGGCCGCCTGGAAGATCTTCACTCCCATCCTCCACCAACTGGAGAAGGAGAAGGTTACCTTTGTTCTTTCTGTCTTTCATCTCTCTTCCACCCGCCCACGTACTGATGTTACATTCTTCTTCGTTCTTGAGTAGATTCAGCCCGACTTGTACGAGTTCGGCAGCCGAGGCCCCGCGTCGGCCGACAAGCTCATTGCAGACTCCGGCTACAGGCTCACCACCGGCTACACCTGGCCTGTCAACAGGAAGGCGCAGCTGTGAGGCCGCGGTTTGAAAAGTTGAGAGACCCCAAGCGTGCAGCTTTGTTGCAATTTCTGGAGGACAACAAAAACAGATTCGTAATCGGCCACAATTTCAAACAGCTGATAATCGAAGGGGATGAGGGTAACGGCAACAAAGGGAGGGCGCGGCACGACTTCGATTGTGCAGCGAGGTGTAATCCATGGATCACCTGCCACGGGATTTGGCACATCGCGAGCACGATTTTTGCCGATCCTATCTACATCTCCACACATTACGGGGCAAGTTCGCCTGCAGCACAGCTGTGCAACGCCCTCTACACAGCCTTTAATGGCCGCTGCTCCTTCCACAAGCAAACCGGGGCGTGTTAGAGTTAGCCTCTTTGGCATTCCCAAATCTCAATTTGCAAAGCAATTGGCGGATGATCTCGGCCATCTCGGCTGGAACAGCCTCCACACCGACCTGTTATGGGGCTTCATCTACCGCTACGGTACAGCAATGTCCTTTGCCCGTGTGCACGCTCAACGTTCTAAGGCGTGGCCGAATGCATGCTCATGATCCCTGTGGCGCAGGCAAGACGCACGCCAACATGCAGAGCATAGTTGGCATTCGGCGGGAGCTGAGGGAGCAGTTGGCGCAGCGCTACACGCTGGAGCAGGGTCGCATCCTCACCCACAACACCTCCGAGGACGGCACCCGCAAGTTCCTCATGCAGTTCGGCGCCGGTCAGGAGATCGAGAGTGTGTTGCCCGTCCCTCATCGAGACGTCTTCACTACATTCTGCTCACAAACATGCTCCTCCATGGGCACGTACAGGCGTGTTCATCCCCGAGTCTACCCGCGGCACGCTGTGCGTCTCTTCGCAGGTCGGCTGCACGCTGTCGTGCAGCTTCTGCCACACTGGAACGCAGCCTGTGGTACTAACCACACTCACCTGCGACGTGCGAGCGTGATGGCCTTGCGCGTGCACGTACCACAATGACGTCGGACTCTCACAACAAGTCTTGTGTTTGTGTGACGACGCCAGATGCGCAATTTGACGACCAGCGAGATCTTGAGCCAGATCATTCACGCCAAGCGGGTGATGAACGACTTTCCCACTGTGGCCGACATCGAGACGAGGAAGCAGGCCATCGCCGATAAGCGGAGGCAAATGAGGCAGAAGTTCGCCGAGTACTTTGGAAAGGGCAAACAGAGGCAAGCGAACCAGCCTCCCCGGAAAGAACCCAACGAGGAACACGCTGTGCCTGAAGAGCCAAAGCGCACTATCACCAACATCGTTTTTATGGTTCTCGCTGCCCTGCCGATTCTTGCTTTGTATGCGTGTGCGTGCGGTGTGTGCGTGTGCGTGTCGCAGAATGTTTGCACTCACCTTCGGCACATGAGTGCTGTTGTGCAGGGTCAAGGCGAACCATTCTACAATTATAGGAATGTGAAACAGGCCATCGACATTATATGCGAGCCCTCTGGCATCAGCCTGGGCCAGCCCAAGATCACCGTATCCACCAGCGGTGTGGTGCCCAACATCTACCGCCTGGCTGCTGATACCAAAGTCAACCTGGGTATCTAGCGAAGGCCTTTCTTGTCGTCATCGCCATTCGTGAACTGATAATGCCTAACATTCAATTTGTTTGATTGTGGCAACTTCAGCCATCTCCCTGCACGCCGCCAACAACGAGTTGCGGTACCACGATCTCTCTTCGCTCTTTCGTTTGGTGTGAGTGTTGCAAGCTCACTCTTGGCCGCTCATTCGTTGCACGTCGCAGAGACGAGTTGGTGCCCATTAACAAGCAGTATCCGCTGGAGCAGCTGATGGAAGCCTGCCGATCCTTCATCTCCCACAAGAAGAAGCGAATCATGTTCGAATACGTGATGCTCAAGGTACACTCAATCCTCTGGTTTTTGTGCCCTCGAGCCATGAAGATGGCTGCGTTCGTTTGAGCTCAAACAGCATGCCCGCCGATCAGGACGTCAACGATCGAGAAGAGGACGCGCTCGAGCTAGCCACCCTTCTCTCCGGCTTCCCCAACTCCCTCATCAATCTCATGTACAAACAGCCACCGTCGCGCTCTCAGTGCGCCTTGCTGTTTCGTCCGGCCCTCACTCACGGCTTTGTGGGGTTTACAGTCCTTTCAATCCCTGGCCAGGCACGAAGTACGAGTGCTCAACGAACGAGCAGATCATCGCCTTCCACAAGACCCTCACCGAGCGCCACCGCCTCCTCGCCACCATTCGATGGCCCAGTACGCCGCCCTACCCCATCTCTCTGCCGCATCTGTTTCCCCCAGCGGAGAGCTGACTGACGCCCTGTGCAGGAGGGCGGGATATCATGGCCGCCTGCGGTCAGCTCAAAACCCACCACGACCGCATGAAGGCACAGGGAACGGGCGACGCAGCAGCATCTGCATCCGTTCCACACACAGTCGATCCTTCTGTGCCTCGAAGCTAAAGAACCAAATGTTTCGTCAAGGCTGCGTGCAGAAGCTTGCAGGGCCACCAAGAGAGGTCAGCTCAGGTTCGGAGTTAGCACGACGAACCACAATATTTCCACAAACCCGGGAGTACAAGAAGAGGACGAGGACACCGGGAGAAGGTGAGAGATGTGCTTTCCTGTCACCTTCGAGGTGTGGTGTCCGTCCACACTTCACCGCCAGGAGAATACAAAGAGCAGACATGGGACGACTACGGCTCGCATGCGCTAAACACAGTGCGCGTATGAGTGACTGATTGGCCCAACAGTTCGCCTTCACTACCAACCACGATAACAACAACAAACGATATGAAGTCATGAAGAGGTCCGCGAGCTCTTCGTGCCAAGAGGCACAGCCGCACCCTCCTGCCCTAAACTCGTCTGCGCAGGGTCAGACTCAGAGCAGAGGAGTTGTGACGTTATTGTTAAGTTTTATAGCGGAGAGTGGGTTTACTTCCTTCCCTTTCCGCCTCGGCCGGCCTTGTTCTTGCCGATGTTGCTCTTCTTGGCGTTGTGGTTGCCGCTTCCCCCACTGCCGGGCTTGGCGCTTTGTGGCTCCTTGGCGGGCTTGGGTTGAAGGTGGCGCGGCACCACCTTTCGCGGGTTGCTGGCCTCCCTCTCGCTATTTACAGCCGCCACCTTGTTCTTCAGGTGCTCCTTGATGATCGCTGCATGTGCAACCAACCACGGCAAGTGTGACATGTCAGCACGTGAAGAGCGAAGCAAAGACTGGGAACGAAACCGACAGCGGCGGACAAGAAGCGTACCCAGTGGATCGTTCTGGAAGGCAGGGTGGGCCAGCACGTTCTTGAACTGCTCAAGCTCGGTCACACTTGGCGTGTAGGAGAGGAGGTGGAGAGGTTAGCCACGCTTGGCGACGACTCGAGAAGGGGCAACGTACGCCAACTTCTGCTTCATCTTGTTGTCCATCTTCTTGTTCTTGGTTTGCGCTTGCATGGCCTGCTCCTTCTCCATGAGCGAGTCAAGAAGCTCGGACAGGGAGGACATGCCCAGCGTGCCCACTTGCGCCTTTTGCTTCATCTCCACCTCCTTCTTCTTCGTCAGGTCCGCCGCAGCCTGCAGCTCTGTGCACGCACAACATCATCAACAATCAGCATTGCGAGATGGGATGGAAATTTGGCAGAATTAAATCTTGATTGGGTTTGAAGGGGTGGCGTACTCTGCACAAGCTTCTCATGCTTCTCCTTCCGCTTTTCGACCTTCTTCTTTTTGATAATGCCGGTCGGTCCCGCGGAGGACAAACCGACGGCCGCCTTGGGCTTTGACTCAATCACCCTCTTCGGCTTTGTGATTTTACCCTGTGATCACAACGGGGTAAGTTTGCTTGTAAAAAGATCAAATTGCTGGTCTATCGTACCATGATGCTTGCTAAAGATTAGATTAATAATCACAACGTTTATTGTCCACCAGGTTTTCCTTGGCACAAATCGAGAGAAAATGAAAAAATAAATAAATATTTATTATTTCTTTACTGTCACCGAAAGTGACTGCACAAAACCCGAAGCCCTGTGACCCGAAGCCCTGTGGCGAATGGTCCCGTAGCCGCCAGCTGGCGCGATTCGCTCCTTCGCCGTCAAGAGCCAGGGCGGTTGGCTTCCGCAAAGTGGTGTGGGTGAATTTCGAGTGCCTTTCTCTCGCACATAGAGGCGCGAGCCAATCGGTCACGAAGTCAGAAACCTGCGTTTCTTTTTTTGAATAGCGCGGTGAAAAACATTCGAACGAACAATTCATCACCTGCATCTCCTTCTGTCTACGACGGAAACGCAAAGAGCTTTTGGGCAGGTAGTATTATGGAGCCCGAGCGATCTTATGTATCAAAGGTCGTGCTGAAGGTGGTCGTCATTGGTGACTCGGGGTACGTGATTTTCCCTCAAATTGAACTTGTCGGGTCGAATCACATTTTCAAACCCTCCTTCTTTTCTTCAATCCAGGGTGGGTAAGACCTCACTCATGCATCAATATGTGAACAAGCAGTTTGCCTACTCATACAAAGCCACGATTGGTACTTCACCTTTCCCGTCGAAGGAGCTTTTCCCTCAAGCTGCGCCTGTCTGTCAGCTCTCACCCTCTGGCGCGTGCGTGCCCTTCTCACCTTGACGTTCGGGTCACCTATGCCCTGTGTGTTCCTTGTGGTCTCCAGGCGCCGATTTCCTGATGAAAGACGTGGTCGTAGACGACCAGGTCGTGACTTTGCAGATATGGGACACAGGTACCAATCCCAAGCCATGTCTCGTCACTAATACTCTCTGGTGCTGCTGTGCCCACTAAGATGACCTTCGTTTCCATTTCTTAGCGGGGCAAGAGCGGTTCTTCTCTCTCGGGGCGGGGTTCTATCGTGGGGTGGATGGGTGCGTGTTGGTCTACGACGTGACCAACCCAAAGTCGTTCGAGAACCTCACCAACTGGCGAAAAGAGCTGCTTCACAAGATCGGTGGACCCAAGCTAGACAAGCTTCCACCATTTGTAGTCATAGGTGCTGCTACAACCATGTTTTCGTGCGTTCTCTGTTTCTTGCACTCGATGTGAAGATTGAATCCAACGGTGATGGTGTGCGGCACAGGAAACAAAATCGACTTGGCGGAGCAGCGTCTTGTGCCGGAGGCAATGGCGATAGCCTGGTGCCAGGCTCACGGCAGCGTCACGCACTACGAGGGTACAACAGCATATACATTCTTTCTCTGAACTAGATGCACGCTCATAGGCTCTGTCTCACTTGTTTACTCGTCTTTCTTACAGGGAGTGCCAAGGATGCCATCAACGTGGAGCAAGCCTTCAAAGCGCTTGTAAAGGAGGCACTCGCCAACAGCCAGTTTGAAACCAAGTGCGTGTTCCTCCCGTTTGCCACCTTGTAAGGTGTAGTGCATGCACGATCATTCTCACTCCTGTTGCGCCCTATCTATTATCCCACACCACGCCATCAGGTTGTTTGATGATACGATCCGCTTGACGCTACCCTCACCGGAAGACTCCAAGAAGTCCTGTTCGTGCTAGCGCGCACTATGTACTTTTTCGGCCACCACAATGTGAATATTTCAACACCTTCCGCGCTACCTGGCTTCCTCGTTCCTATGGGCAAAGCGTCCAACAGGTATCTCCTCCGCCCCCCCTTTAATCGGCATCGCCACGCCCGGTAGGCCACCTTCTTCCCACGGTCGTGGCGCCGCTGCAGTTCTTCTAATATTCTGGGACATGCCTTACATTTTTCTGCCTTGTCGAAATTTCGTGCCCCAGAAAAGAGGTAACTGGGCAGACTGACCACTTCATTCTCTGCGCCCGACCCGAAGACCAACCCCCCCCCCTACCACTACTTCGCGAAGAGGACAGCACCGCCACCATGGGATACGAGCTGAAGCAAGTGCGTCCGGGCGTGTGGGAGTTGGTGGTGGTCGAGGACAAACCGAAGGAGGTGTCTCTCTCGCCACTGCCCGGTCCGCCCAAGGAGGCCCTCCGGGTAACGAACAGAGGTCTGGTCACTGCAGACAGTCTCTCGCCTTCACAACGGCAGGTGGCCCGCGACGCCGCGCTCAAGCGGCTCATGCGCGATTGGCGGGAGCTGCAGCGCTGCCCGCTCCCCACCGTCGCGGCCGTGCCGCTTGAGAACAACTTCTTCGAATGGCACGGCAACATGCTGGCCACCTCGGAGTCAAGCTTCTGCGGCCTGGTCTATCACATCATCATGCGGGTTCGTCTTCCCTTTCCCAGCCATTGGTTGGTTTTATTTTTTGCTGACCGCCAACTCTCTCCTCTTCCAGTTCCCGGATACCTACCCGCTCCAGCCACCAACTGTGGAGCTGAAGGGCTACATTTCGCACCCCAACGTGTTCGGCAGCTACATCTGCCTGGACATGCTGGAGAATGGCTGGGTAAGCGGTTGTTTTTTTGCGTAAGCACCTTCGAAGGTGAGGGTGTCACACAGAGTCCCTGACAATAATGCGGTATGGCTTGTGCGTGCAGTGGGGGATGGAGTCTGTGAGAGAGCAGCGATACACGGGCTGGTCAACGGCGTACTCGGTGACTTCGATACTCATCCAGCTGCAGAGTACGCTCTTTCCGTGATCTTCGGCTTTCAATCCACTAAACTCTGTGTGCTGATTGCCTATTTGTCCACACATAGACTTTATCTCCGGGCGGTCGCGCAACGTAAAGGGGGAGCGAGAACGGGCCGAGAAGGTGCGCCTTGTCGTCTTCGTGAATGAACGTTGCCGCGGCATGACACTCACCCTGCTCCTCCTTCCTAACAACAAACAGAGTATGAAGTGCTTGGTGTGCAGCTGCGGGCACGTGGCCGACGGTAACACCTATCCGCCCATCGCGCCCGAGGTCATCGAACAAGAAATGAAACAGCGGGAGAGGGGCAAAGCGGCCAAGGCCACCACCGTCAGACCACCACCGCCCAAGAGTGCAGCCAAGCCCACAGCAGCCTCGATCGCCGACGTCAACTTTTCCGAGATCCTGGGCGTCGAGGCCCCGCCGTCCGCGGGCATCCACTACGGTCTGTTCAGGCGCTATCGGGAGGATAGCTTCCCGATTCGTCTGCCGCGGATCAAGGCCCCGGCCGGCAGCGGCTCGCGCGCGACCGAGGCCATTATCGGCTGGCGCGAGGCCAACATCCAGAGTAGCTTCCGGTCGCTGGCCGTCGATCTCTTCACCGCCGAGCGGGGCTACACCGTCTACGAGGTGACCTTCGACGACCGCCGGTCCCGCAATCCGTTCCTCGACTGGGGCGAGGTCTACCCCGAGCACGACCTGCACAACATCAAGGATGGCCACCTGGCCAAGCTGGGCGTCAGCAACGCCAAGCGGTCGGTCGAGGAGATCCTGGCGCAGAAGAACCCCTACCAGTTCCCGGCCCGGGCCGACACGATCGACTTCTGCCTGCGACCAGGCGGGCGCGCGGTCCACCGGATGTCGGCCCGCTACAACCTGACCCACGCGCGGAGCGTGGCCAACACGGCCTGGAAGCTGGTCGCCGTCGACGAATCCAACGGGCGCAACTTGCTGGTGCTCAACGTCATCTCGAACGGATTCAACGCTCACTTCATCTCCTCCGCCCAGTTCTACCTCTACACGACAGCGAGCGACAACGGTACGCCGAGCCCAGCGCCAGTACCAGCGGTCGACACCAAGAAGGAGGTCTCCGGAGCGGCCAATGGGTCTGGCGTCAGCGGGAAGCAGCAGCAGACCGGCCGTACGCCCTCGGCCAAGAGCGTCGGGGCGTCGGAGCAAGTAGTGCTACGCGAGGTGAAGGAGGAGCGGCCGGTGAAGAAGTATGTGCCGACCTCGACGCCGCTCATCGTATCGGCCAACTTTGGACCCCTGCGGCCCAAGACCTCCGCCGCCCCTGCTCCCGCCCCCGCCCCCGCTACAGCTGTAGCGGTAAAGTCGGCCGCGAGCAAGAGCAAGGGCAAGAGTAAGAAGGTGCAGACCGAATCCGACGAAAAGGCTCAGGAAATGGCGGCCGATCAGCTGCCTAAAGCGGTACGGAGCCTGACCTTCTACGACCTGCCGCCCGAGATGCAGCTGCACGTCTTCTCCTACCTGTCGAAGGATGATCTCTTCACCGCTTTCAAGGGTACCAACCCCACTCCACTGCTTACCTGCTTCAAGTGCAGTGATTCACCTCGACCACTTCTTCGCCACCACCCCTACAGTCAACGCCGAGTTTGCCGATCTGGCTCTGGACTCGCCCCAGTGGGGCAAGGACGAGCTGGTGTGCTTCCACTCCAAGCGAACCGATGAGGAGGACACCCTGGGCTTCCCGATCAACTTCACCCTCTACCCTCCGCCCATTCCCTCCGCTACGTCGCCGGCGCCCGTCCGTCCGTACCGGAACATTGAGTCCATCTCGTCCACTCTGGACCTCCTCTCCTACGAGTCCTACAAGGTCGAGAGCGTGCGTCGGGGCGTGTGGAAGGAGCACTTCACCCACTGGCTCCCCGTGTACATCGGTAAGAGAGCAGCCTCTCGTCCCCCGTCTCTGTACTCCTTTCCTTTTCACGAAACTGACGTGCGCGACTTCCTCATTCCCTAATTAGGTCGGCAACACGGCAAGAAGGCGTTGCCCCTGTGCGAGCAGCTCATCTCGGTGATCATGACCGGTGATCCCAACCTGTTCCAGCCCATCATGGCCGTGGAGGTCTTCACCAAGCTCATGAACACCATGATCGTCTCGCTCATGTCCGGCGCCACGTACGTTTCTTATCCGCCTCCAGCCGTGTCTGCTATCAAGCAAGCACACTCTGATTTACAATTTGCCTTTTTATAGTCATGCATCGGAGAAGGCGATGGAGGGCTACTTCTCCTTCCACCACTGGCTGCTCGTGTTCATCGAGCGCTACCCTCAGCTTCTCGACTGGATCAACAACAGGATTCGCGGGTTCATCACCGATCCCGAAAAGCGGATCAAGAAGGTGTGCCTGGTTCTCATATGGCTTGCTCTAGCCCACTTCGGCTGACCCCCTCTTTCTTCTCCTGCAGGCCGTACCTTCGCTGGGCGAGTTCATTCCCCTGCTGGCCGTGACCGACGCCTACCAGTGGCAGGACGTCGCAGAGCCGCTCATCCTGGAGGTGTTTGACAGGAACGTGAAGTGGGTCCTCCAGAAGTATCCCGCCTTGGGTGAGTCACCTCTTCCCATCGTCTCCTCTGGGTCCCGAGTGCTCAACTGTCGGCAAGGCATTGGACTCACCTTCATAACGCCTACGCAGGTAATATGCAGAGCGGAGGGCAGCTGGACGTGGACAAGTACCGCCTGCTCAAGACCTTCGAGGCCTCACAGGTGTCGATGCGATTGATCCTCTTCCACGCCTACTTCCTCAACACCATCGCCAAGCCCAAGGGCCGAACCGTGTCACTTGTGCGCCGGGTGCTGGACGCGTGCTATGGCCGGCCGTCGCCTCGTATGAAGGTCCTCCTGCAGAAGCGCACCAAGGAGCTGCAGAAAGTTGGTACGTCTCCCTCGTCCACACCGCATTGCTCCTCTCGCGTACTCTCCGTGTGCTGATATTTGAGGAATGTATCATTCGCACAGACAACTGGGTCGACTTCTTCGTGCGGATCGACATGCCGCTGCCCTCGCCCGAGCGGCTCACCCGCTGGCTGCGGCAGAGCGTGTGGAATTCGTCGCGCAAGAGGTATCACAACCGCCACGCCTACACGGGCTCGGTGCGCAATCCCCGGAGGGCCAGGTCTCACCAGTGGGAGGAAGAAGAGGAAGATGAGTACCACTACGACCGCTACGAGTGATGCAGCCGACCATGATGTCGCGAGCGCTGCTTGCTTGGTAATAAATGTACAGCATTGTTGAAATTCTTGGAACCGAGGGGTGGGCTACGCGTGTGGGGGAAAGAGAAGCGAACTGCAGCAAAAACCGCACAACAAGAAGATCAGCTGAGGCACCCAAGGAGTAGATTCCTTCTGCATACGCGCTGGCACACCAGTATCGAAGCGCGTAGACAAATGGAGCTGCCCACCTCGCCGATTCGAGGGGCGAGGACGCCGATGGAGGCGCCCGCCACCCCCAGCGGCAGCAGCAACGGCAGTGCTGGTGCTCCCTCGCTGCTCACCTCACACCCTCTGGTGGATTACCTGCTGAGCTTGGAAGAGGGCGGGTCCCTCACACCGCAAGTGCTCAACCTCCTGTTCGCAGCGGTACGATTACCAGCACCTACTCAATCTTCAAGCGTTACGATCTGTGCCTCAATTACTCTTGATTTGTCTTACCTCAATCGACCACGATTTATTTATCCCCCTTTGTTGGTCCACACGTCAAGCTGTTGGGCGGACCACCGAGCCGTGAGGTTGGTGCAGCGCTGGCAGAACGCATCGTGCAGATCAAGCGGCCCAACACGCTGCCGGTGCTGCTGGCGGCCATCTGCCACTTCCCCGAGCACGAGCGAAAGGACCGAACCAAGACACAGGAGCAGCGCGACAAACTCAACAACGTCTACATGGACGGGCTCACCCTCCTCGACAAGCTGGCTGCCAAGTCGGTCAGCAACCTGGCCCTGTGCGTGGCCACCCAGGAGTCCTTCCACCGCTGGCGTCTGCCCTGCGCGCTCCTCGATTGCCTGCCGCAGGTCCAGAACCAGCAGTTTTTGGGTATGCTTGTGTTGCTGCTGCTGCTGCTGCTGCTGCTAGGTTTTGTTGTACTCGAGTCAGATGTACTTACACGCTCTTGTGCAAACAGTGAATGCGCTGCGTTTGGTGCAAACTCTGGGCAACTACAGCGTCTACGTGCGGGACATCAAGCAGCTTATGCTCGCCCTGAAGAAGGAAATCGACAAAGGAGTGGTGCGTGGCCCAACTACAAGTCTGTTTCTAAGCTTCGATCGTTGTTCAAGTTATGCTGAGCATGCACTTCGCTTGTAGCAGTCTACTCGGAGCATTCACTACCTCAAAACGCTGAAAGACATGACCCACCGAACAGGACCGCACGATTTCTTTCACTTTGATGGCCAGCAGTCGGTAACTCCACGCTCTGCTCCGCTTCTCTCGCGGTGACTTCTTAAACGCTGTCGAGTTTTCTCTTCTCAGGGAATGAAGGTGCCGCCTTTGGAGAGCTGGCCCAGCGGCGGCTACACGTACTGCTGCTGGTTCCGGGTTGAGGATTTTCACGACCCCAAGCTGCGCACCTCGGACCACTCCTACGAACCCCGGCTGTTGAGGTGCCCTCTCCCTTACCCCTGACCACCTTTTGGTCCCTTTTCTCGAGCTGACTGAAGGCCACCGACGAACTCTATCTTCCTCTCTGCATCCCGTACACCTCTGCAGCGTTCTGTCGGACACGGGGAGTGGTCTAGAAGTGTTTTTTGTGGCCAATGACCTATTCATGGTGACGCACCACGCGGGCCAACAATCCACCGTGCCCATACCGTTCAACCACTCGTTCCGTGTCAAGGTGAGCCTGCAATCACCCAGGGCCCTGTGTCACTCTTCCCGTCGGGTCTAATATGCTTGCTTGTGGTTGCTTGCAGGCGTGGTACTTCATCGCTGTCCGGCATGTGCAACATCGGTGGTCGCCAAGCGAGGTCCAGCTCTTCGTCAATGGGAAAATGGTACATCTATGCGTGTAGACGATTTCATGTCGCAATATGTGCTGACGTCGACTCTGGCGCAGGTCAACAACTCCGCCTGTAAATACCCCGGCGTGGAGGGGAGAGCCTACGCGTGGATTGGCACGAACATGAAGATACGCACGCCGTACCTTCACCTCCCTCGCGCCTCCTGCTTCTATGGCCAAATGGGATGCATCTACGTCTTTAAGGAAGCGCTCAAGGACGAGGTACATCAGCGCCCATGATTGTCGACGTCCAGTTTGTCGTTGGCTTACCATATGCTTCCAGGACATCAACAATCTTGATGAGCTGGGACCAAACTACGTCATAGGAAGGGAGCAAAAGTTTGATGAAGAAAAGTACGTGGCCGTGGCTGTTCGAAGAATCACGCGCGTGGCTATGCTCATTGCGTTGTCTGTCCTGCAGGGGGTTGAACAAAGCAAAGCTTCTGTTTGGGTTTCAGCCCAAGGCCACGCGAGAGGATACGTGCGTCGACATTGCGGCTGCGCTGACACCTTCGGCCGCACTATGGCGAGGCGGGATTGCGGCAGCGACCTCCACATCCGTGCCCAAGGGGTACTTGGTGCTGGTTGGGAGGGGGGGTTGTCATCAGGTGATAGTTCCTCACTGGTTCTCTTCTACAGTTACCATGCCACTTTGCTGCCAGGCAGTACTCGCTACCTTACAATGCACGCCATTGACGCTATACACTGTTCGGGCGGACTGGTACCCAGCTGCCCTCATAACCGCTTGACGTTGCACTCGTGATCTCACGCACACCCTTTTTCTCCAGCTCATGGTGCTGCCGCTGCTGGAGAAGGTCCTCAGCCAGCGTGCGCCACCGAACACTGAAGATCAGCATAGCGTTTCCTCCTTGATCTCCGACCTGTTGTTGCTCTTGAGCGGTACGCCCAGCCTCTCTATCTGCTCTTCGCAAGTGAATTAATGATCTCTCATATGCGGGTCATGACATACTTGTGATCACCTCTAGAGTTGCTTGTCCGCAGCGGACCCACCGAGCGTCGGGAGTGGATCGCCAAGGGGGGCTTCCAGGTCTTGGCTTTCCTCCTGGAGCGTGCGCCGGTGCAGCTTCTTGACGAGACTGTGCTCCAAGCACTCAACGCTCTTGTCCTCTCCATCCCATCTTCGCGTCCAGGTACGCACCCACCCTTCCACACACTGAGTTGGCTGATGCATTAACACAGTCATCGGTGTAGACCTGCTGCGCTTGGCGTACGATTACCTGTTCCTCAATTTTGACCTGTGGACTCGCTGTGGACACGCCCAACAAAAGAGTCTGTTGGCGTTGATCATCCAGCATGCCAAGAAAAACCCCAAGGTGCCTCTCGCTCGCGTACTGTTAGCAATGACCATGAGAGCTAACATCTGTCTCCCGCTCACACAGAGGGTGTCAAAGCTATTTCCATGGCAAACGATCCTGGACGTCTTGCGCCAGTATTACCCACTTCCGGCCTTGGACGCCTCCAGTCCCAGTTCCAAGGCCGCGCATGAGGAAATCACGGAACTGCGATCGTGCTTGATCGAGGTGATGCGCCTCACGGTCGTCAAGGGCGTCCCGCAAGGGCACATGGACGCGCTCATCAAGTTTCTCAATGACCGGGTTGAATCATCGCAATTACATGGTACGATGGTGAAAGGAGCACGGGGAGAAAGAGTGGATCCCTGACTCCTTTCTTTCTCTTGGTTCCACGCGTATAGACATTCTGGGCTTTCTGGCATACACGATCGCACAGACCATTGGCGCATCTCAACAGCTGTACCAGAATCTGCATCGAGTACGCGGACGCCTTCTCAACCGGGTATGGGGCCTATCTATTCTCAGGCATGTTCTAACGTTGCTGTTCGCGCAGATGTTCGAGGAGTGTGGTGGGTGCCTCGCACTCATTGGCCTGCTGGGGCGGGAAGACGAGGAGATCAAAAGGAAGGTTCTCCTCCTCCTGACATCGCTCATGCAATGGAGCGCCAGTTCGACCGCCGGCAGCTACGGCAAGCAGCTGCGCAAGAAGCTCGAGACGCACTTCTTCTCCAATCAGTGCTCGTTCATCGCTCACCATCTGTCCCCCTATCCCCTGACCGGTATCTTGTTCTGCTCTTCAAACCTACTCTTCCAAAGCTGCTCTTGTGATTGAACTAACCTTGGGGCAACTACCACATAGCCCCTATCTACGCCGCGTTGTTTGCCTTCCTGGTGGAGGACGCCAGCTTCACCGAGCTCGACGGAAGCCAGAAAATCAAGAACAAGCAGATACTGTCGGTCATCTTCGCCCTTCTACCCTCGGCCGACATCTTCCTCCAGCAGCAGATTCTGCAGGACTTCAACGTTCTCCTGTCCATCTCGGAGGAGGCCAGAGAGTGCTTCCTCTCGCAATGGTACCGCCCGCTTTATTCTTTTGCGCCGTCGGACGCTACTCACCGAGTGGTCTCCGTGCGCGTTCTCCAACAGGGGCTGGCAAAAGTGGATGATCAACGTGCTGATTCCCCTGGTTATTCGCTCTGAGCGAAGAGAGTGGCAGCGACGGAAGGAGCTGGACGAACGCAAGAAGAACAAGGCCCGCGAGCTCTCACCCGAGAGTGGCAGGCGGGCACGCGAGAAGCTCCGGGGCAGGTCCTCCTCGCTGCCTCCGACTCTGGCCACGCTCTCCAACTCGCTCTCCTCCCTGTCCTCGACCATCTCGTCGTCGTTCTCCTTCCTGCCGTCGTTTTCGCCCACGTCATCCCTCGCCGCTCTGCCCGCCACCTCGCTCCCGGTCGTCGCTTCATCATCACCCTCATCACCGCGCGAGGAGGAAGCCATCAAGGAGCTGGTGCTCAAGCTCATCGACCTCATCCTCTCGGGCGTCATGGAGCGAAGCAATGGCTGGAAAGAAGTCGAGCAGATGAGGTACTTGCACTCGAGTCATACACTTGCGACACTGAAGCTGATGACGGGTTGTTGTTGTTGTTGTTGTTGTTGTTTGCCCAGGCTATGGCTGCAGCTTCTATGCGTGGGAGGGCGGATGAGAAACAACATCCAGCGATCGATCTACTCGCACATTCTGGGCAATATCAAGAGCCTCGTCAGGAAGAAGGGCTACACCAACATGAACCCGTTCAAGGGCGGGGCAGGCCAAGCCCCCAAGCGCGCTGCCGAACCGCCCAAGGAGGCACCCAAGGAGCAGAAGAGCAGCT